CTGGTTGCTGTCATTCCAGCAGAGATTGAGTCGTCCGAAGTGCCTTCCTCTTCGTCAGGGGGGCTGCCCAAGGAACATCTTGTCGAGGCAAACCCTGATGGTCCAGCTGCATCTGCGCTTCCTGAAGGGGACAAGCCTTTAGATGTGAGTTCGCCGGGAGTTCCCATTGTGGACGATGCCCATGTCAGCGATCGAGTTCGCAAGTTGAGAGATGAAGCTGTGAGCGTGAAGCATCGCTTATTCCATTTCCCAAAGAACCCGTTCTGCGATGTGTGCAATCGATCCAAACCGCAAGCCTCGTGATGAGGATTCTGAGCCCGCGTTGCTTGAAGCTTCGGAGTTTGGAGAGGTTATTGCAGCTGATCACATCCATGTGTTCAAGTCACCTAGTGACTCCAATGCTCCCGGAAGAGAGTATGTGGTGTTGTGCCTTCGAGATCGCTTCACAGGATTGTTTGCTGCTTACCCTGCCACAGATCGTTCAACTGATTCCATCTTGACATGCCTCAAGCGTTTTGTTGGGAGGAAAGTGTGCAGCAAACCGGTATCGCTGGTTTCTGATGCAGCAGATGAATTCAAGCTTGCTGCAGAAACCTTGGGCTGGTTACACATGCCTTCACTGCCGAACCGGTTTCCTCACAATTCTCAACTTGAGCGTGAAATTCGAAATTCGGTCTTTCCAAGAAGGAGTCAGGTCATCTTTTCTTGAAGCAGGGTTTGCTGTCAGACCTGAGTTGTGGACAGTGGCTTGCCGCTACGGGTCAATGGCGATGAACCTTTCGCATCCTGCTCCTCTCGAATCTGATCTCTCACGATGGGACTTTGCAGTTGCGCACTTCGATGCCGAAGACGTCCCGCCTCGGGAATTAATCTTAGGCCAACTTGTTTTCTATCGGGCACGAGCAGATAGCAAGTTTGGTCCTAATGCCAAGCCAGGGTTGTTTGCCGGATGGAGATTGCAGCCTGGGTTCTTGTATAGGTCGGTTGTATACGTGCTGGATTTAGCCAAAGTTCGATTCAAACTTGGTTCTTGGGAAGAGGTAATATCTGTTCCTGAAGCAGAACTGTATGTGCGCTCTGGCGATCCAGTGTTTCCCCTCAAAAACGCAGCCGAACACACGCTGCAACTTTGTGGAGGAGAAGACTTCGCAGTACCAGATCCTCTTCCTCTGCCTTTCTCAGGCGACCAAGCCATCATCAAGAAAAAGGCCCGAAGGATCTACATCACCTATTCAAGATTTCTGAAGCTTGGCCCTACTCCAGGTTGTACTGCCTGTGAAAGAGACCGTTCCGACCACAATCCTGAATGTGTTGCTCGTTTTGAAAAGGCGTTCGGGGACGAGGCCAAAACTTCGTCTCAACCTTTTGAGGATCACGAGAGGCTCTTGTCTTTCGAGCATCTTGGTTTGCCTGATCTTCCGCCTGAGATCGACCCAGCCGATGAAGAAGCAGTTGAAGTGGAACTTGCTGCTTTGGGTAGGTCTACAGGAAGAGATTCTGAGTCAGAGCTAGACTTCCTCAGGACGCCGGAATACGAACCTTCCATTCCCGAAGATGATGAAGCGCTCCCCGGTGTTGGAGCTTTGCCTGCCTGTCGGCGTCAGAAGCCTGGTGCATTGGTACTTTATGAGTTTTGCTGCGCTCCGGATTCCATGATTGGGCACCTTGGTCCAGAACTGGGTGTTCAAGTGGTTCGGTTGTGCCGTGAAAGCATCAATCTCGAAGATCCCTTGGCCATCGATCAGCTCATCCACCAAGTCAGTGCAACTCCTGGTTGCTGCGTCCATGGATCCCTTGAATGTGGACCTTGGTCAGCGTGGTCCCGCATGAACCTGGCCACTGAGCCGGGATACCTTGAAAAGCTTACCGCCGAAAGGGAGAAATCCCGGAAGCTGTTGTTGCAATTCATCCGGGTTGCTGCATTAGTCATACTTCAGGGGGGTGAAGTAAGTTTCGAGTGGCCAAGAGACGCTGCTGGTTGGTCTTTGAGCCTAGCTGACCAGTTCAATCTTCTCACCGTTGAGTTCCACGGATGCGCTTTCGGACTTGTGTCTTCCAGAGGTGGCCCAATGCTGAAGCCTTGGAAGATATTGACTAGTAGTAAGCGTTTGGCGCATGACTTTGCGGCTTATCAGTGTTCACATCCTAAGCACTTCAAGCACGATACCGTTGAAGGTTCTGACTCAAGACGCTCAGCCTTTTACCCTGAAGCCATGGCCAGAGCAATTTTGGCATCTTTGTTTCCTTATGCGAAAGCATTTGTTGCACCAGCGTTGCCATGTGTGCCCACTTTTCCTCAACTTCACAGGGTTAAGGACGTTCGGCCGCCACTACCGCTCGATCTCCTGATGTTTGAGTCTGGTATGCGCCGCATCCGAATCCCTGGTTACGTCCATCGGTTGTTGGATAGAAGGGAATGGACTTCCCAGCCTGCCGCGCTTGAAAAGGTCCAAGAAGAAAAGGATGGTCTTTTGAAGGCAGGTACCTGGATAGAAGAAGAGATCATGCCGAAGAGTGAGGTTCTTGCATGGGCTCGCAGGACTTCCAATGTGATCCACTTCGGAAACTTGATGGTCATCATGAGTGTGAAAGGCGCCGAACTAGAGCCTGATTCTTGGAAGCTTAAGGCGCGTATCGTCTTTCGTGGAGACGATATACGTGACCAGACTGGAATGTCTGCTGTGTTCGAAGAACTCTTCGCGTCTGCCCCTTCTTCGCTTGAGGGACTGAACACGGTCATTGGATTCGGTCTTCTCGAATCTCATGGTGTGACAACTAGCGACGCCATTAAGGCGTATACACAAGCAGCCTTGAAGAGCAAAAACCGAACTTTCGTCCTCTTGCCACCAGAACTCGTCCCAGCTTCTAAGAGAGACGTAATTCAGCCCTGTGCACCGCTCTACAAGGCCTTGTATGGACACCCTGAGTCATCAGCGCATTGGCAAAGGCATTTGCATGGCATTCTCACTGGTCTTGGTGGAATTGAATTCCCCAACCTTCCTTCTGTGTATTATTTTCCCACATTGGATCTGATCTTGTGCGTATATGTTGACGACCTCACATTGAGCGGGAAGTTGTCGAAGCATAAAGGTTTCTGGAGTTCCTTGTCGAAACAAGTTGACCTCGAGCCTTATGCTCCTCTCACCAGAGTGCTTGGTCGCAGTCATCGCCACGTCTTGTATGACAATCAACCAGCCCTTGCGTTGGAAACTGAAGACTTCGCCAAACAGTGTGTTGACTTGTATGAATCCTTGGTTGGTTCCGCTGTTAAGCACCAGAGGACCCCGCATGTTGACCCAGGAGCTCTATCACTAAGTGATAATGATGCTCGGGGCTCTCTTGCTGACAGCGCCGCTCGCATCCTGATGAAGATTCTGCGGCTTGCACGTTTGAATCGCCCAGATCTTATGGTGGCCGTCACTACCCTCACGACCAATGTCTGTCGTTGGTCAGTGAACGATGATAAAAGGGTTGCCAGGTTGGTGGGTTACATTGCTGCGACGGTTCAATACAACCCTGTGATGTTTGTCCACGACCCAGCTTCATCTTTGCACCTTGCCCTGTATGTGGATTCAGATTTCGGCGGCTGTCCTGACACCGCGCGTTCCACAAGTGGGTATATCGTTGCCCTTGAAGGAAGCAACTCATTTGCTCTTCTGTCATGGTCCAGCAAGAGACAGAAAGTGGTCTCAAGGAGCTCTACCGAAGCAGAATTCGTGTCCTTGAGCAGTCCGCTGTTCAATGATGCCTTGCCATTACTTGAAGTTTGGCAAACCATAATCCCTGGCATTAAGCTCTTGTGTCGTGAAGATAATGAAGCTTGCATTGCCATTGTCCGTAAAGGATATTCAGCTAAGCTGAGGCATTTGTCCAAAACTCATCGCATCAACGTTTCATCTACGTGCGAAGCTGTGAACGACAACGATGATGTTGAACTGGGCTATGTCAACACTAATGACCAGAAAGGTGATCCTTTGACGAAGGCTCTTTCGGTCCAGAAGTGGGCTCATGCACTGAAGTTGCTCCACATCTCCACTGAGCATCTGCCAGATGTTCCCATCTAAGCATGCACTTCCCTGTCACCTGAAGTCTTTTGAAAATTCCTTGGGTGATATGTTTGTGATGGTTGTCAAGCTGCTCCTGCGCTACCTCCATCATCGTGCTTTTGCAGACACTTGGATATGAGCCATCATCCCTGTGTCATCTGAATGAGTTCTTGAGGATCTCATCCTGCACTTCTTGCCTGCCCTCAGCCTTGCACTGCGTTGTGTCAGTGTACGGCTGCTCCCAAGCGCCGCTCTGACTCCGCCTGAGCACAGTCCTGCACCGGTTGAGAGTAGTTTTGTATAGATCGCAGGTAGAATTACCTTAAAGGTTTATTGAGTCTACGTTTCAGCCCGATCACCTGAGATACCGGATTCAATTTGTACATGGCTAAGCCTGTACTTCAATCGACAGTAGGTTTGGCTGCAGAGTTGAGCTCGTAGCTGTTGCTTCCTGAAGTCCAGAATCGAGCTTCAAATGAGCTCTAGGACTTGAGAATCTGCAAACATGAAGGGGGGAGTTGAAGAATCACGAGCTTCCTTCCTGTAAAGTGATGTATGTATAGTCATGTTATGCAGATCAGGATGGCTTACCTTCTGACTTTTGGCTCAAGCAAACAGGCCGCATGAGGTGCGGCTTGCGCGCAGGGTTGAGGGCTTTGAGGGTCCCTAAACCCTTCTTTTGGTTGTGTTTGGTCCTTCCCCTTTCAGGCTTAGGCCAGGTTCTGACCTGTTCAACTGTATTGTGTGAATTTCTTCGAATTTGGTGCAGGCTGCTGGCAAAAGCCCCCCACCCCCCCCCGATCAGGGCCCTCAGGGCAGCAGCGAGCAGCTTTGCGCATGTTGGGTATATGCTGTTCGTTCGAATGTCTTCATGCCGCCCTGAGAGTCAGGATGGTGATAGCTGCATACTGCGTCAATGGAAAGCACACCTTTGTGTTTCGTTGATGTGCTCAGGCTGCACTTGGAGAAGCTCGATGCTGAGCTGGCTTGGTCGTACAATCACGGCAGGCTGACAGCTCTCCCAATTTGTGAGGTGGGCTTTTCACCGGGCAGTCTTCACTTCGTCCCCATTTGTGCTCGCAACGGCACGAATGTCAAGCTGGAGGACGGGCATCCCCGGAGTACTGTCAGAGATTTGGATGCAATGTGGCGACCTTCAGCCGGAAGGGTCTCCTCGACTTCAGGATTCCATGTCATGCAGCGCGTGTGACGGATGGTATTCTGAAGGCGGGGGAGTCGTCCGTTGGCGAAGAGCCTTGTTCGACAATCAGACTCCTAGGTTCGCTTCTGGAGCTACTCGAGACTTGTCCGGTGTCCGTTCATATCTAAGGGTGCTGAAGACAGTTGAAGTGCTGTTGACATGCTCACGCCTCGACTGTGTTTCGATGGTCTTGGTGAGTGTGAGGTCAGGCGAGAAGCTGCCGATCATGGCCCGCTGCGTGTGAGTGTGCTGGGCTGCGAGAAGCAAGGCGTCGCGGAGCTGCACTGCGCTTCCTTGTTGTGTGCACGTTGTTTTCGGCCCGCCGCTTCTCTTTTGAGAGTACGCGGAGAGCGCAGCTCTGATTCTCCAACCCCTAACCCCTGCCGGTTTCTTTTGTTTAGTTTGTTGTGCTTTTCCATCCATTCGATCTGTTATGTTGCGGGATGGGGCTGACACGTAGCGAGGTAGGCTTTGACGAAATGCAGGTGCATTCGGTCTCGCCATGTCGATCGAGAATCGCCTCTGTTCTGCAGACTCGTTTCAAGAATCTTGCTGTGATCCCTGCAGCACTGCTTCGGGTTCATCACGAGCTTGGTCGTACTTTTTCGGACCTTCGTGCTATTGATGTTTCATGACGATTACACCACAAGAGGCAGCCGCCAATCGGCCAGAGCACCTTTGGAGAGTTGAAGGGAATCCACGCTCCCAAACACGAGACTATTCTCATTATATCTCATTATTATTCTTATTATTGTTCTTGTTCTTGTTCTTGTTATTGTTCTTGTTCTTGTTCTTGTTCTTGTTCTTGTTCTTGTTCTTGTTCTTGTTCTTGTTCTTGTTCTTGTTCTTGTTCTTGTTCTTGGGTTGTTCTTGTTCTTGTTCTTGTTCTGGTTCTTATTCTTATTCTTATTCTGCTTATTCTTCTTCTTTCTTTTCTTCTTCTTCTGATTCTTATTCATGGGCCGGACGGATCCTGCAAAGTCTCAAGGTGGTTGTGGGACTTGAACTCCCAGAGCTGCTGAACCCTGAACTGGAGTTCACGAGCTCCTGTTCCCTAGAACCTCATTGTCAAGATGCAGCGTTTGTGCTTGAAGCACGTGAAGCTCCCTTTTCAGCTCATTCCTGACAGACTTCTCCTCTCTCTTGGAACTCCTCCTGGAGTTCATGTTCTAGCTACTAGTATGTCACGAGCGGCACTGGAGATACGAGGGAGCACACGATTGGCAGGCAACGCCTCATTTGCCCTCTGCCGCATAGAGACAGGAGACTTGGAGGCCTGTCCGAACCGTGTGTAGTATGTAGCTTTGCAGCCACACATCCTGGTGGCTGGATTGGAGGTCGGCTCGATTGTCCAGCACGCGCCGCAGGGGGCCTGGTCTCTTCAGCAGGCAGCCCGGCTTCACAGGCATACCACCAACACAAGGTCTGGTCAAGAGTGCAGCGCCGGCACCCGAGCGCAGTCTTGGAGCCTCCTGTGAGCGCAGCCTGAGCGCCGAAGAAATGGGAGTGCAATGGCAAGGTCCTTGGCATCCACGCATGGGGACACGAAGCTCGGCAAGAATATTTAGGCGAAGGCATGTTGCCGCGATGGTCGTCGTTCAGCCAGCCTGGCCAAGGATCTTCGACGCGCCGAGCCGGGCGATTTGGCACGGTTGAAGCTGTTGGGGCTGCAGCCTTCATCCGGACATGTCCTTAGCGAGGAGTGGGTTTTTTTGGATCTCGGATGGGAGAGTTTAGTGCTTGTGATGCCACCAGCTGCCGCTAGCAATGTTGGAGTTGTTGGAGCAGGACTCGCTGCGCTGCGCGGCGAAGTTCAAGGCGCAGGCACGGTCCTCAACAACAGAGGGCCCAGTCTTCGGTCTTCGGGCACTGTCTCTCAAGTAGCGGTTGGCAGCCAGGCATCTCTGATTGCGTAGAGAGGCCAGAACATTAAATCGGGCATTGTACAGACGTCTTGAGCTTGCCGCAGCTGGCCTTGATTCCAATATTTGGGAATCTTGTCAATGCAATGCTGCGAACGTCTGGGAATCAAACTGTACCTCGGCATTTCAGCTTCCGTTAGGTCCGCCTTGTGGACACCTGCCGCGAGACTCCTGTGGTGAGTCAGGGCTTCAAGCAGCTTGGCTTCAGAATTCCAGTGAAGTGGGGAATGTGAATTGTTGATGATTTGTATCATTGTGAATACAAACACACCCCAACCCCATGTTTACACTCACCCATATTCACAAGGCACCGCATGTGCATTCAGCAAGTGCGCAGCACTATAACCCGACAGGGGCACCGCGGGATAAGAAAGCGATGATTCCAGGTCAGGGTTTCGTAAGGTTGCGACAACCGTTTTGTTTTCAAAAAATGACCCAAACTCTGAAAACACGCTGACATCCTGAATGCATTTCTGAAATCCTGTTCTTGCACTGCCGGGGACCGAGACTAAGTTCAGACACGTCTGCGAGGGTTCGGGCGGTGTTCGGGGACATCTCTTGTCCTTAACGAACCAGTCATTTTCTCAGTTTGCATTGTACTTTGGTACTGCCCCTTTTTGGGGCACTTTTGGGAATCAGCTCTCAGCCGGACCCTCATCCTGTGAGGTGCATGTTGCATCTCCACCATGTCACCGAGGAGTCTGGGCCTCAGGGTCCTTGAAGCTTCTTTGAATCCCGGCTTGCGCAGCGGGCGCGCTGGGAAGGTGCGAGGTCTCCAAAGTCCTGGAGGCCCAATGCCAGCTCATATTCACGTAGAGCTGCTGATGTCTTTTTCGAAAAGACCGCGTAAAAATCTGGACTCACCTAAGCCCTGAGCTCCCTTTTTAAAGCACAGCCGAGGCAGAGGACCTTCGGACGAGCAAGAAGGAGGCCGCTCCGAAGGTGATACGGGCACCTGCAATGGCCATCTGCGTTCTGCAGATCTGCTCGGGCAGGGAGGCGCAAATTGGGGCAGAGAAGGGCCCACCCCACGAAGAGGGGCATGAGTGGCTCTTTTGGAGGTGCCCCTTGAAGCTGGTGGTGGGCTTCTTGGGCAGCTTGCCCTGCGCAGTGATGGAGGCCTCGACGTCTTGAAGACCCTCTGTAACCCCCCATAGCCCATCCCACTCCACCCCCAACTTGCAGAGCCAGAGTGGTGCTACAAAAACGTTGAGGCACGATTGCCGTGGGCAGCATCACTGAATTGCCCAAGAGATGAGGCCACTGGTGGACAAGACTCGCCTAGTCATGGGGCATGTCGTAGTTTGAGTCTCCGCGCCTGCAAAACGGATGTGCTTCGAGAGCCGCTGGCCTTTGAGGTGGCGTTTTGGACTCCCTCAAGGGTGGAAGTGTTTGGCTGGGCTGTGAACACGAAACATCATGAAACCCTTCCTGCAAAACCGAAGCACCAAAAGCCTGAGCTGTTAACCCCCAACGTCAACGCCACGTGACAAACCAAGACTTAAAATGTTACTTGCAGGCGTCCTGCATTTGTTGCGTAGGGCAGCCGTGGTGCCCACGCACGAAGGAAGCATGAAGTGGGATGTTGAAGCCGCTCCATGCAGCTTGCAGGTTCAAGATGCATCGTTGCATATCGTTGCTAGACTAGGACCTCGAGGCAGCAGGAGACAAGCGGGGAACCCGCTTCGCAAGCCCTAGCTCCTAGAGCCCGATAGGGTGTGTTGTTGCGCAGAATGCCATGGAAACGAGCGCGGCACCTCCGCAGGATGCCCCGGATGCCCCCCGGCCCCACTTTTGAATCTCTTTTAGACGCTTTGCGCCTCTCTCATACTTTTTTCGGTCTTTTTCTGGATTCTTTCTGTCCCATTTTGGCCGAGGTTGGAGAGGCTCTTGAAGTGATCCAGAAACAGCTGCAGGACTGCAAATGGGAGTAGAGTAGATGTTTCTGAAAGAGCTGTGAAGCCTCGTCATCACGCGGAGGACCTGGTTGCGAGTCAGTCAGAGCTGCGAGCGCAGAACGCGGGCCAGCGCCTGTGTTCAGGCAAACGAAGTCCATCTGTCGTGTTTGTGGCCCGTTCTGAGGCCATGCAGCAGCCCTGCGTTCACTGCAAGAAGGCCAGAAGTCCATATTGTGTGAGGACTGTCCAGTTTGCTTTCTTCGCAGGTGTCGAGAGATCTGTACGATTGGCAGATCGTCCGGATGTTGAAGGCCTTCCGTAACCTTCGCAGTGTCCTCAATAAACTCTCGCCACTCTTGCGACCCAGTCCCCTAGTACCGGATCCCGAGGGTGAGTCGCTGCTCTACTTCGGGGATTTTAAACTGTCCACGGGCAGAGGGGTTGCCGCACAGCACTTGTCCCTGGAAACGCTAGCCTTGGCTTCGCTGTATCCATGTCGTTGTTCGGGGTTCAGGTGGGTTTACCACCAAGGAAAAAGCAGAGTGTCTCGTAAATGATTTGCGTAGCCTGGTGGGCAGTCCGTTCATGAAGGGCCTCATGATGCCTTGTGATACTTTGGCAGAGAGGCGACGGCGGCGGCTGCTTGGCGGATCTGTCGGAGAGGTTGGAAGCCGCCAGCGACGCGGTGCAGCACTGGACGCAGACGTGGGAGAACTCGATAAACCCCAAGGACCGGTCTAAACCTCGTGGCGGATCCTATCATTGCCAGTAGAAATGGTGACGAGCCGTTACAGAGCTGCATGTCGCATGGTAGGGTTGCAAAGGGGGGGGGAGTTTTTGGCTGGTCGCGCATGGTCGGCCCCAACTACCATCTGCTCCTGGCAGACGGTCTGCGTCTGGGTGCCGGGGTAACCATTCGAGGCAAAAAGCCAGGGTGGGCAGGAGGGAAGGTTCCTGAGACACGGCCGGAACTCGGAGGGAGGCCTCGACCTCGAAATCGAATGACGCTGTCAGAGAGGCTTGAATGGTCTGGTATCTAGTAGAGTCTGAGCTGCCACCGAGTTGTCGGTTGTGGGCAGGACCAGGCGTTTGCAAGACTGGCCTTCATTTTTCTGGTCCGTGGCTTTCATGGGAGTGGAGCGGGGCTTTTCGCTTGAAAGCTTCAATGTTGGGTGAGGTGGTGAACGTTGCTGGCGGCTTAGTCCTCACAGCCTTCTACTACAACTTCACTGCTTTTGAGGCGGGCGAGACCGCGTAAAAGCCAAGGTTGTTTCCTGCTTATAAATGGGAATCTGGACATTTAAATTTAATGCGTGACCCCAAGCGGAGGTCTACATAATGTCGCTCTTCTGGGCCGTCCGGCGCCTCCTCGTTTTTTGCGCGTTTTGAGTCCGCTCTCCTCTCAGCTGCTCCGCTCGTGATCTGCCATGTGTCGCCGAGGGGATCATCTCGATTCCCCTCTACCAAGTGAAGATCAGCATTATCGACGTGACCTTCTCTCTCATGTCCTGGCCCCACCGATAGTTCCGATGCCTGTTGTCTGATTCCCCAACACCCAAACATCTTTTTTAACCCTCAGCCAGCCTCAGTCCCTAGCTAGCCGCTTCCTGCCCCAAGAAGCGCTGAGGCTGCGAGAGACCTACAGGGTGACACGCGTGATGGAGACGAACCCTCCACAGGCCCACACATCCTGCACAACAGGGCATGGGATGTTACCATGCTCTGCTGCTGCTGTGCCTTCCGAGGACAGCACGCCAGTCCTGGTGTCGAAGTTGCCCAGGTGGGAGCAGAACGAGAGGATGGCGAGAGAACACGAGAGAATGCGAGAGGATATGAGGCGTACAGAGAGGCTTAAAGAGAGGCAGTTAAGTCACCCGATGGGGGCGCGGGGATGCCCGGGGCGTCGTATGCGTCTTGTGCCTCGTACCTGCAGGCTCCATTGGCTCCACGTGGACGAGCCCGAGAGCCGCTCTTTTCAAAAGGCGATGCCTCTTATGCCCCGTTCCCGTTCTCGTCTGCAAGGCACCGCCCGGCAGCAGCAGGACAGCTCCGGGATCAGAGGAATGACGGATCTGCTTGACAAGGTTCCATGACATTCCATGGGTAGCCGCCAGGAGCTCAGGGCCTTTCTTGCCGAGGCATGCGTAACTTTACTCAGACTCATGAGCAGCGTGTCCTTCATCCGCATACATCCGCCAAAGCAGAGCGGCCAGGAGCTGATGTCCTCAAGCGCGCTGCGGTGGGGTGCTCAGGAGGTCATGAGGAAATCCTGGGGCTGAACGACTTAAGATTTTTGCCAGGCGGGACATCGAGGAGAAGGGCAAGGAGCCCGTGAGCAGTGAGAGGGTCTTGAAGAAATCTTTGGGCTTCCTCTCTCGCCGTGGCTGAATGGGCTTCCTCGCCGTGGCTCAAGAGACCTGAATAAGTTTAAAGTGAACATGCCCCCACAAGATCTTGACCCGAACAAGCAGCCAGCTCAGCCATCGCAACCCTAAACTTTTTCAGACCTGGCTACTTGAAGCTTGCGTCCCCTGCCATCTGCTGGCAATCGGACCGACGTGACCTTCCTGCTCCAGGACCCTAAACCCCCTAAGCCCCCCCAAGCCCTAAATCCCCTAAATCCCCAGAAACCCCTTATAGGAACCGTCTTCGAAGCAGGATGAAGCTTGTCAATGGCCTCTTCTTCCTGGCGGCTCTCCTGGTGCCACTGGCCGTGATCTGGGGGCTTCTGGGCGACCATCCTGGAGGAGGAGCGCTCCAACCCCTCCATGTGGATGGCTTCCTTCTCTCGGACCTTGTGCATGTATGTGTGAATGTATGCATGTATGCATGTATGCATGTATGTATGTATATGCATGTATGTATATGATACATTTTGCGCATAGTCGAGAATGCATGGCCTTCTTCAAGCAGACTTGTACATCGTGCTTCTGATGATAGCAGAGGATCCATTCGTACCATGCCAACGGATGCTAAAGTCTGTCAACATGCTTGCTTTGGTTAAAGGGGGCATTGTATGGTACTATAGTGGGCAGCGCAATCCAGCAAGGCGATCTGTCATAAGCGCTATCTGCCAGATTCATAGGAGGCACTCCGGTGCTCTCCAAAGTTCCAAGCTGTTGGCTTTGTTCAGGTTTGAAGTTGAGCGCGGCGTTCGCATGGCACCCCATCTTGATGTGCCGTGTCTGATTTGCATGCCTTGGTGGGCGAGAGGCCCGTTTGTATGGCTGTTGTCTTCTCACCCGTGAGGTCCATCGCCTTCCCGTGCTTGATGGTGCTCGGTCGATGGGCCTACGTCACGGACCTCATTGAAGAGAAGGGGCTGAGGTGCCACACTCCCGGCATATCCCGGCACTAGAAACATATTTGAAGCATCTAAAAAGCATGCCCTGACCTGTCTCGGGCCACTGGTGACCAGGCGTACGCTGCATGGAAGCATCATGGCACTTGCGGCCCTTGTGGCACTGGGAGGCACAGACTTCTTCTGGGGATCGTTGGTTCAAGAGTCGACTCCGTTGTCTTCCTGCAAAGGCTATGCTGCCATGTTCAAGGCCCACTGGCCCATCAAGCAGTACTTCGGCCCCTTGGCAGGAGCTGCTTTGCCTGTGCAAGGGGGCTTGTCCAGGCTGTAGCAACGCATCTGAGGCTACAACTTCACAACGCACGAGTGGACCGTTCCGGCCCGTGTTATCCATGATCTCATTGGCTATAGCATTTTAGCATTGGTACTGTTCCAAGCGACGATCGGGATGGCGAAGATAGCCTCTCGGCTTGCGAACTACGGGTGTGGTGGGTAAGGGTGGGTAGATTGACTCACTAGTGACTCACTAGATCTCACTAGGCTGACTTGAGCCTGGCGACATGCAGCTCGGGCTGGGAAGGTAAAGTTGCAGAACAAGATCAAATCCTTCACTTTTCACGGCACCCTGGGCAAGGCCGTTTTGCATGCGATTCACAGACCTCGACATGACTTCGAAGGGGGGCCAGATGTTCACACAAGTGGTGCCAGGTCATCATGATTCTGTCAGCTGTGAACATCTTGGTGGCCTGTGTTTTCTGGAAATGGACTGCAGGATTTCTGGGCACGGGCTTGCCTTGCTAAGCTCGTCTGTTTAGCACTCATGATGGGCTCGGTTACCAGATGTCTGGAAAGCCCCAGTGTGCTGGTGCATTCTTCTGACATCCGTCAGAGCAGCTTTAGACGTCGAACTGGAAGGATACAAGATCCTGGCCATGCCCTCAGCCGTTCGACGCTGCGCTGCTGCGTGCTTTTCTTGCCTTCGTAGGGCAACTTCTCCTCTTCCGATTGTGGGGCCGTATTTCGTGTAGCACCTTCAAGAAGTCCTCTTTCATAGTTTTCTCATGAGGTGGCGGTGCTCGCCGTAGCTGCGACGGCTTTGGGGGTACTGACCCCCTCTGCACCCAAACATGACGAGCATGTCCGCGATACCATGCCGCCTGGCCCAGCCGAAGGAAACCAGGTTTCCCTTGTCAGATGTCAAGAGTGCTGTCACCATCATGCAGCTGCAACACTGAGGATCTGACGCTTGAGTCAACAGCAAAGTAGCCTGGGCACAACTGCCCGGTGAGACGCCCTATGCTACAAGCATCGGCACGTCTTCAAACCACTGCGAGCGTTGAGCCACGTAACAGTCGCAGCTTCTTTTCCGTCTGCCAGTTGGGCAACGCTGCTGTAAAGAAAAGACGCGGCATGACGCGCCACAGGTACAGATGCTTGGAGCCCAGCAGTTCCGAGGAAAATGCGAAGCGGCTTTCGATAACATAGTGATAAGTATATACAGGGCAAAGAAAAAGAGTTCAGATTACTCTCGGAGCTTTTTCAGCAAGTCCAGGCAAGAACAAGCACTAGAGGGCGAAAAACACATGCAGCCGGGCAAACCTGCAACCGCCGTTTGATTGCACCCATGGTTTGGCTTGTCGATTGTTGCTTTCGGAAAAATGCGCTTCTCTGTTATGTCTCGTGTGAGTTCGGTGCAGAATGTGGTCTGGGCCCCCTTCAGGAGTTCCACGTCAGCCTGAGGCCTTCTGGGTTATATGTGGTTTCTGTCAGTGTGAGAGTGTTTTGCAGTGTGATGGTGTATTGGTGCGGGCCTTGGGGTCTTTCTGGGCTCACTTCTGTCGTGGCGCTGCGGCTTGCGAAATGAACTGTAGGAGGTTTCCTCGCCGACATCTGCTGGGGGCCATCAGATGCGCCTTTGAAGGTAGCTTCAAGAGCATCTCGCGCAATGAGGCGAAGAAACCAGATCGAGTCAATCTGGGAGAGACGTCATGTGCGCCATCGCAGAGTCTTGATTTGAGTTTTTTTGGGGCGGCTCGTTGAGCTGGGGAAGAGATGCCGAAAGCACTTGCCTGCCAGTGGTTGGGAACTTTCCGGCCCTACAGCAGCTTGTGGGACCTCTTCCGGGATCTGCCGAAGTCCCCGGCCAAGCTGAGAGTGCTGAGACACGTGTGGAGACTCGCGGGTGTTGTGGAGGTCGGGGGGCGGGGTCACTCTGTTCCAGCGCAAGGCTTTGGGCAGCCTTTGGCTTCTTTCTGCGCTTCTTGAGCAGGCGAAGGGGGCGAAGATGGGCGAAGGGGAGATACACCCCCCCCCCCCCGGTTTGATTTTTTCTCTTTCCTGTTCTTCTTGCGATGCACGGACTCGGCACCCTGTGATCTGTCAGGCCGCTGTCGCAGTTCAGCACCGAGGCGTGCCACTTTCTCAAGTGCCACAGCAGAGTGCAGGGGTGGAAGGGGGGGGGGGGAGTTTTGTCGCTGTGCTGTCGTTAACTGTGGGCGTTTATTCATTCGCATGCCTTGGCCTTCCTGAGGCCTTTGTGCTGCTGTGTTACGGTGCCCTTACCTTTTTTGGGCTTTGACATGGCTGACAAGAGTATCATGGCCAGGATATTCCAGGGTCTGGTTTTGGAATCGCGGGCACCCCTGGGCATTGTTCTAAATTCAGCAGTTCGCTTTTGGATTTGGTTTAAGTGCTACCGTAGAACATGTGGCAGGCCGACTCGGCACCGTACTTCGGGCCAGAGCCTCGATGAGAGCGATCCGAGGACATACAGCAGAGTGAAAGAAGTACAGGGACGAGGACCGAGCCCACAGGAATTCGAGTGTAGCCCATGAACGTCGCAAACTTTCGAGGCTGCTTCTACGACTCTGTGTCGCTCAGCGCCGGCCTCGGCCAGCCCACACGGTGCAAAGCGCCAACTACCCACTCTGCTGGCCTTGCCGTTGAGTTTTCTTTCATCTCTGTCCCTCACGGGTGCGTGCTCTCAGTCTCCGTCTCGTCTGTTTGTTTCCATGTAAACCTCTTCGCTTTCAGCTGAGGCTGTGTCCGCGACGGCATGCTTACCTCAGAACCATTGCAGTTGAGCTGACCAATATGATTTCCGACTTGCGCGGCAGGTTTCCAGCATTTGAGCCGAGCGGATGTCTTTGCAATGCTCACACATGTGGCCGCCCAGCTGCAGATTCAGGAAAACCCGTGTGCTTAGCCAGGCTTAGTTTTGGCACGCGCCATGACTAAATTCGTCTGGCTTTCGGCCCAAGCGCTGATAATTTTCCCCGTCATCCTGTCGCTCATGGAGGCCACGTGTTGGCAGTTGCCTTTAGTTGGCAGTGCGGAAAAGTGCTGCTTCTTTCAGCACATATACTCCTGGCTTCAGGCCATGCGACTTGCCGCGGTTGCAAGGCGCGCCTCTCAGGCGGGCCTCTGGGCATACACGTCCACGCTTACACAAAGCCGACAGCATGCAGGTGTTAGCTGGGTTTGACTGGTTTTGACAGGCTGCACTCGTGCGCCAACGACCGCCCCGTCTCAGGCCGTTGCCATTTCAGGAAGTCCTGGTTTTTGACGGCAGGAGGTAGAATGGTGCGTCCTGACAGGAATGTACGGTTTTGCCAGGAGGCCAGGCACACCTCATTTTGTACGAATGTTGGCACCGCTTATAATTGGGACTTGGTTTTAGACGCGTCTGCCGAGCTGGCCGTGTGTCTGTTGAGGCATTTAACATCTCCATCAGGACTTTCTCTGAGTCAGGCCCAGCGCGGCCTTTCTCGCACTCGACAGAATTATCTTGCCACGCCCGTCTTGCTGGATATGTGGCGGCAGGTCAATCCAGCAGCAGCCGTAGCCAGTCAGAGTCGGCCGCGGACCCAGATCTGGCCACAGTTTTCGGATTTGCCTTTGCTTCCGAGTGGGCAATCAGGCTGCCCTGCCATGAGACGAGTAGGAAAAAGAGACGTGAAATATCCCCCGAACTTCCGTCTGAGAAGCCTCGCAAAAAGCGACGAGAGCTCGCTCAGAAAAATTCTCTCTTCCTGATTCTGAGTCTCCCAGGAGTCCGACCGGCGCTATGAGGCCTTGGGAGAGTTGTTTTTTTTGAGCCTTTTTTCCCCCGAGGTTTCTGAGTTGTTTAGGGGTTTCGTTAGGTTTTGAAACGCAAGAGCCGTTGTTGCTTCGAACGAGATCGGGACAAGAGCACAGAAGGGGCCGTTGAGGGTCTGCTTGTTGGGGGGGGGGATGTTTCCACAACGCGGGTGGCACATGGAATGGGCAAATACAGGGGCAGTTCTGGGAACCTTTGATGTCAACGAGGCCTTAGGTTTGGCACGTGTTCTAGGTGAAGAGTTTTGCGTGGAGTTCACGAGCCGGTTCGATATGACGGTCCCGCTTTGATGTTCGCATCGTTTGTGATTTTGTGAGTATTCGGATCGGGACCAATGCGCAACCCCACAACCCCCACACTTGCAAGCTCGTCATTGTCACTGTGGAAGGAGACTGGCGAGTACGACACGCAGGAGAGAGTGGCTGGAATAGCATGTAAAGGGATCCATCCAACTCCTCCCATTTTGTGTACACTCGTGTACACCTTTCTCTCTCTCGGTCCCTCCCCGCTCCCTCTCTCTCGCTCTGGTTACCTGCTCGCTCGTTCTCTCTCCCTGGCTCTTGCAATGTTGCAGGACAAATACAAGCGCGTTGGCAACCCAATCTCTTGGGCGAATCCGCAGCTGCCTCATGTTGGTGGAAGGTCATTTCAAGTAAATACCCTTGGATTGGCTGAGGACGGGAGGAGGCACTGTTGAGGACAACTCCAGCAAACACTGGACGTGAGCCTCTCAGTTGTAGTGTAGACACAAGCCTTAGGGTGGTGCCTCTTCGACAACTTTTGAGCTTGATTCACAGCACTGTCTTGTCGAAGGTGGGTCTATCCAGCGCGGATCTTGGTTCCCAGACTCCCAGACATCTCGCAGCGAAGCCGTGCCGGCGTGATAGCTGGATACAGAGCAAGGCCGGAGCCTTTGCCATCCTCGCCTTTTGCGGAATCAGCCGCTGGCGCAGTCTGCGCAAGGAGAATGAGGTGCGGTGAGCGGTTCTGTGACTCGCCGTGCGTATTCGCCTCTCCCTGTTTACCCTGAAAACAGGAGCAGGTCATAGCCTCGCCGCGGATCAACATGCCCGACACGGGCAACTTTGCTGGCGCCTGAGCAAGCTTGCACAGCCATTGTTGGCGGTGCGAGGACCAAGGCTTTAAGGTAGCTGTAAGCCGGATTCTCAATGCCTGGCTGACTTGGCGAAGTGCGCGCTTGCCAGGGTTACAAGCCACCCTCACAAGAGCCGCTTTCTGCCGAGGCCCGCCGATTGTGAGACATGTTCTGTTGCCAGGGATATGTCGCTGTGGCCAGGACCTGGCCCCCTCCCCCTCGTCGGAGACGGAGTCCGGCTTCGGCCCAGGTCCCAAACTTAGATGAATCGACTGACCGAGGGTGCTGCGCGGGGGTTTGTTTTCTCTGCCAGGTTGGGGCAACAACTTCACTCCGCCTCCTCGGAGCACCTGAGAGTTTTGAGTAGAGACCAGTTGGCTGCAGGATGAGACAAGAGGGCAAAGAATGGGCAAAAAACACCCAGCATCACTGATATCGAACCCCGACTCGACCCCGACAGCTGAATCAAAAGTTTCATTAGAACGAACCATGTGAGCGCGGCTTAACCTTGGTTTTTCAGAGCCGGAAACTAGGACCGCAGGACCTGTGCACATCTTCCTCCGTGGGGTTGCAGCGCAAAAGCGGGGACCGCCCATGGAGAGAAGTGGCACCTAACTTCCTCGCTGCACGTGATGCTCCGTGTTGCGCGGCATAATCTTTACTTACCTCTTGCGGACTCTTGCTTGGATCAACCGGTCACTTAGATTCAAGATTCATTGGCATCTTGGTTTGCTAATCTTCCTGCCGGCGAAGTATCACATGCCAGCACAAAACGGCCAGAGCAAATAGCGCATTTGCCTGAGCGGCTGTTTCACCTACCAAAAGCAGATAAGTGGTGCAAGTTTTGTGTGAACCCCGTGTTTGTGCCCTGCACACTTGATACACTTGTTCGTTAACTTTGAGCTGAGCTTTGGTAGATGATTTTGGCGCCTTCTCCTGCCAAAGGACGACCTATTTGCCGGTCCCTGCATCAAATGCGCGGCATTTTCAATCTTCGCGGTGGAAAGCCTCGGATGGTCATGCCGCAACTTGTGTGGCAAGCTGCCTCACACAAAAACAGGCGCGAAGAAAAGGCACAGGGGAAGAGCAGAGCCTTGAACAGAGTGAATCGTAGCAAAGTTTGTCACGGTGCCATGTCTGGCGCCGGTTGCTCTTGTTTGTACCTCACGATGCGGTGTACTGGTGGACCATCCTGGTAGGCATTCAAAAATCAGGTGAAGCAGTCAGCAGCACTGACAACATAAGCAAGCACGAGTGCAGCACCGCATCGCAGATTGCCAAGGTCAAGGTGTACGGCATCGTCGTCATTTTGCGCCCGGTCGCTCAAGGGATCAAGAATGATGCACGTGTTCATGCGGTACCGGTCGAGTGTTTGCAATCGCAAAAAAGGCTTGGTGATCACCGGCGTCGGAAATCTGCCGGCACTCTTGCGGCTTGTCAAGGCACCGATCGCTCCACCAATGCATCGATCAGTGAACAAAAATGAGAAACCAGTCCGCGACAGAAACCAGCACGAATCGGAACAGCAACTCAGAAACTGGCCGCATCGCACACCAGAGAATCAGCAGTTGGGCATCAGAAGCTGGGGGTGGCGGGGGGGGGGCGGGGGGTGGAGGCAGTCGTGTCCGGAGCCCAAAATTTCAAGAGCTTTGCCGTGCTTCAGGTCCCGGAGCCGCGGGACTGCTACGAGAGGCCCCCCCCGATGTTCCCAGATCCGGTGTTCGCTTTTTTGTGTCACAGTCGTTTAGTCTTTGGCTTCAGGTGGGGCCAGTGCCGCAACTGGCTCTGCAGGCGAAGGGGCCAAAGCCGGTTCCCTCACATGTAAAGAGTTCGCCCAACAGGATCAATCAATGGTCTGATGCGGTGTGAGGGATGCGGGAGGGGTTGGGTGGTCGTTGGGGCTTGTTGGTTTGGCTGTTGTGTTCGGTCTTCTTTGGTTTTCGCCCACATTTCTCAGCTTCGCCTCTTACGCAAGAGGTCCCGTAGATCGGTAGATGCAGGCGAAGCGCCGACGTGGCCGCCCTGCTCGACAAGGCACCCCGGCAGTTCAACAGCCCGCTAAGTTGTGGTCCCCTCCTGGGCACATTTTGTTAAAGAAGTACAAAAACCAGTATGAACTCGCATACAAAAATGCCGTGCCAGCCCCTGGCGATGTGCGTGGCTGGGTTCCGGGAAAATTGCCACTTCCTTCTGCAGGAAGCTCAGCGGTGGGTCAGCTGTGTTCATGGGAGCTTTCTGCTGCTTTCGTGGCTTCATACAAGGTCCATGCTGATCATCCTGGCCGCCATCGTGCCTTTCTGCAGCACATACAGCAAGAAGTGTCCATCTTGAAGTACACACACCCCCAAACTACAATAGCTGGGGCCGAGGTTCACAGTGAACTTCGTCAGCTTCCTCACCTTTGCACTGAGGCGGCATGTTCAGTGGGCTTCCTTGCAGGGTGGGGTTCCATAGCATGGAGAGAATGTTCGGCAGGCCTTGAGATGTATGCTGAGCGAAGTGTATGTTGAGCTGAGCATTGCAGAGGCCTTGTAGCATGACCCACTCCCCGCCTCCACCCCAAACAGAACAATTAAGCCCAAGGACCCCAGGACATGAGTGTCCAAAAATCTTTGGCATCAGACAGCTAGGGTCTGATTTGGATACGTGGTTTCTCGGCCCTGAGAAGAAAGGCGTGAAGCTGTCATCATTGCGGGGACGTTGCAAGAGCTCATGCGCCAACATGAAGCCCTGTTCTGAGACACCGGTTCTGAGCCAAAACTTGAAAACATGGAGGGTTGGATTCGTGCGCGCATGCAGTTTGAGGCCTACCAAGCCCTGATGCAGAGGGCCCGCAGCTTTCAGCTCTGCTCGATATCAGCGTGTGGGGTGTAAGTGCTTTCAACTTGGACTGGCTAAGTGTTGCCTGGTGCAAGTCAGGTTGCCAGCTTTGCCAAGCAGACTGGTGTGGGCCCCACGCAGGAGCAAGGGGGAGCTGACACTCATATGAAGAGGTTTTGTTGCACTCTTGATTTGCTGTTTGATAAATCGGCCGGCAGCGAGAAACAACATTGTAGCACAGAAGTCCTCCGCACGATCCACCCTGCGTCTGCCTTTAATGTTGGAGATAATTGGGGCATGTTATGCAGCATGCCCGCTGCTGTAGCCAAGCATGTGCACGAACTGTTTGAGGGCGGGGAAGGGTTCACAGATTGGGCTCGCGAGCCCCACTTAGGGGCCACACATGGGGGGACAGCGTGCCTTGATTTGAGAAGTGCCTACGCAAATCGGATGGTGGTGCTTCACTGAAGTGTTTCTATTCTCTCTCAATTGGCCTGGATTCAATGGTCAGGACGTCTCAGGACTCTTCGTGGCGCTTCGCTCTCAAATAGAGACCGCGTTGCCCAACTTGGAGGCCAACTTGCAAGTGATGGGCAGATGCAGAGGCAGCCACATGCAGCTGTTTTCTGCAGTGCAGTTGTTGCTCTGCCCAGAAAGTCCTGGCACAGCACATTCCCAATTTTTACGCTTTCAAGTATGTGCGGAGCTTGGCTTAGCGCACCGGAATCCCAGATGCCGCTTCGTTCACTAGTTGCTCTCAAAGTGACCTTAATCCCAGGTCCTCTACGATGCCTGGAACGACAACGAGGACCTGAGCGGAAGGGCCCAGAGCGCATCGTTGGACATGGACAAGGCTGGAGCTGGAGCCGGAGCTCATTCCCTCAGAGGGCTTGGGGCGCGATTTGCCCCCACTTTCCCCATCATGTTCTTCCGCGCCCGGAGGCCTGCGAGGATGCCATCGCCATCGGGGCAAGCTGTGGACCAGGTCGAACGCACAGCCGCCAAGTGAAAGCAAAGCGAAGACAAAGAGCCATGGGAAGGCTTAGACGAAAGACTGCCCATGAAGCAGATGCCAGGGGCCCCACAGTCACAGGCATCTTAATCTTTGGTGCGTTTACCGTTGCTTTGGAAGCGCGTCACTGGTCCTAAGGCTTCGAAACACCACGGCCGTCCTTCGCCACCTGGCCGGTGGGAACGTAGGGGCCGCAAGAATGCCACAAAATTGACAAAAAGGGGGAAAAGGGGGGGAAAAGGGGGAAAACGGGCGGAAAATGGGGGGGGGACAGATCTCCCTTTCTCAGGTGACCGGCGCCGCGTCGCTTCTTCCCTTTGTGTACTCGGAGGCACTTCCGGAAGCGCCAAAGTTTCCATCTTTCTCCAGCTTCGTAGACAGAGTCGTTAAATTAAGCCCAGAGATGATTCAGAGAGTCACGGGGCTGGTTCCACTTGGTGGAGGTGCTCGGGTTTTCCTTCGAGCGCCACATTGCAACCGCGGAGAGTTTGGGTAAATGGGCCCCATCTGGTTGCAGGATCTACTTGCTCTTGTAACGGCTCATTCACCCTAATCGAACCCCTGCACCTTAACAGCCCAAATGTACAGGAGTGTCGCATCTCAAGTTGTCAGGTGGCAGCCGTTTCTTCCATGATGGGTGATGCGCCCAGCATGTGCTCGAAGACCGCTGGACAGCCCATGAACTTTCCCCCCAAGGAGAAGGTGGCTCCCAGAGTAGCGCGGCAGAGGCACTGGCAACTCGATGAAGACCCTTAGACCTTCCTTCGAGGATTCGACGGAACCGTGCAGAGGCATTGAAAGATGGGGCGGCTTATGGTGGGACTCTCCTCGCCAAGTGCCGCCGATCAAGTCTGTCAACCTTTACGATGCTGAACATGTGCATGTGATAAAGGTTCACGTACAATGTGCCATTGGCCCTCCTCGACACTCTCTCATCAGCCTCGTCCGTGCTGGGTCAGGCAGGGGCAATTGCACAATTGCAGGAGCAATTGCACCGGCATAACGCTGCAGAACTTCCACAACTTCGAACTTGTCACTACGCAAGATGTCAGGCGGTGGTGTTCATAACGGCCCTTTTCTACCTCCTCTCTGCCAAGGACACAGGGCCTGATTTGAACATACTGGTAGGGCAAAGCGGCTTCATCCTTCATTTGACAACATGAATCATTTTGGTTGGGTGATTTGGGTGCAGGAATCCTGCCTTGCGGTGGTAGGGGAGTTCCTGAGGGTCGTGGACCAGAAGCAGGCCAGAACCACATTATGAGGCCCCAGGGCCCAGAGAGGCCCAAGTAGGCTTGTCTTTGTCGATTGTGTCCTTCGAGGTTATCTTCCGCATCAGCGAACGTGTCATGCGACTCGCCTCAAGAAGGACTCAGTGAAAAAGCTAGTTGGGCAGCTTCTGCCGAGGCGAGCCGTGCTGGTTTCCGCGATGAAGATGTCGGCGCGCGGCACTCGAAGCCCTTTTGGCTGTGTGCTCCGTCACATTTAAGCTGTGCACTTAACTTGTAAGGTTCCATGCCTTGTTTACTTGGCTACTGTATTCCTTCGGCTGGACCCCTGGATCTGCAGAAGTTGCAGAAGTTGCAGATGGAACGCCATTACATCGGAGCACCTGGGAAGGGGAGCTCCCGATCGTTGTGGTCCCCACGGTCCTCTCCGCCATCCTGGCTTTGGTGCCTAAGGTACCCGGTACCCCACAGACCAGCTCTATCAGCTATCTCCGCCATGGCAAGAGTCAGTGGTGCTGCGAGGTATCGCCAGTGTGGAGCGTGTCCGTCTGGGCTGCCGTGTATCTGTGGTGGCAGGGCGAGAAGGCTGTGAAATGCGACGGGAGCCTGTGATGCTTGCAACTGTCAGTAACTGCCATGTTCTCGCAAGGCTTGGGCAGTCGTGTACGGTGCCCTGAACTTCGCCGTGTGGTTTCAGGCACCGGGCCCGAGCAATGACAGATACTGAAGTGGATTGTGTAGAAAACCCAGAACGGGTGCCAAGTGCAAGGTTCCTACTGTCATTTATGCTGAGATCCCCGAGGCAAGGAGTTTTGCACATGCCTTTACTTTAATGATCCACAAATTCTACACTGCATGGCCCGGCAAAATCGGCAAAACCCACAACAATCCACTATGGGTGACAGTATGTGACAGTCCAATGCCTGGCTGACGGGCCTTGGCGTCGTGCTCGGGGTTGGTCAGCAGCGGCTCTCAGCGGTTTGGGGGGCGTGTCGCAATGCGTCGCACGCAAGGCGCACGCATGCGCTCAAGGGGGGTCGCTCTCGTCGATGAGCTCAGGTTTGGCTTGGCCGGGGTCGTGCTTGGCCCCTTGCTTGCCTCGGCCAGGGCCTCAAAATCCCAAGGCCCTACGTAAGGTTTTTGTGCTGACCTAAGGCCCGACTGGAAAGGCGTTGAATGTGAGAGAAGAGATCGTGCTCGCATGGCTGGGATCCTTTGAAACTTTGAGGTTCCCTTGATTTGCTTTAACCTCGTGAAGTTGCCCCTGCCCCAGCAGACGGGATCATGCAGTAATGGGCAGACGGCTGCGACTGGCTGTCGCGAGGTTCAACACAGACAAGTTGCAGTGGCGGGGGTCTGAGGGAGATCTCCTCCACCCCAAAATACGAAGCAGGCTGGATCGGGGTGAACATGGGTGAATGGTGCTTGCATGAGCTTTGGCCTGTAGTCCTGTTCAGGTTTGGTGATGGCCGCAATGGTTTCGCCTCTGCCCGGGGCTAAGCGTTGCAATCCGCGTGAATCGATTTCCGCACTCCCTTGGCTGCAGGTACAGCAGCGCCCTTCGGTTTTCACGTCCTACTGGCATGGTGAAAGGGCAAGGGGTAATTCAACCGCCAACGAGTGGACGCCTCAGCAACAGTACCGAGGCTAATGCAGGCTTCACGGGCGGGGCGTAGAGATTGGGGGGGAGTGAAGCGGGACACTGGTCGGCTGGGGGGGTACCATGGGTACCCATTCCGGGCCAAACAGAGCTCGGCTGGGAGGGGGTAGGGGGGTGGGTAGGCCTTTTGAAGGTTCCCTCGACTTAGATCGAAACGCCTCAGGCCTCCGGCCTCGCGGCTTTAAAGACTCAAAGACCTCTCGTAGAGCACAGGCAGTGCCGGGTTTGCATGTCGCTATATCTTCCCTTTTGGCAATGTTGACTCCCAGACCAAGGGGAGGTCTTTCATGCCAGGCTCCATCAGACTTGTTTGCAAAGCCCCTCATCCAGCAGCGAGGAGAGGGAAATGCCACGACAGCATGCAGCCAAAGTCATTTCGATTTCCTGGCCTGATTGCAATGCGGTCTTGGCAAACCTCGGCATGGTCAGCTCCCCTTGCTTCAGAGTATTGCAGATCAGCCGCATGATGCCACACAGCTTCCGTGCAACACTGAAATCGCCGACTTTCAGTAGAAGACCGTTTGCTACTCTGTACAAGTATATGCACGGCAGCCTCGCCGATTACGCAGTCGGTATGTTGTGCAGCAACGGATGCACCGCGTTCGGCCAAGCTGCGCACCTGCGGCCTGCGGACCTCAGAGTTCTGCCCGTGGCCCCCGTGGCTCCTTGGAAGAGCAGAGGTGAGCTATGGTGAGCTTGTGTGAGTTGTAGTGAAGTCGTGAAGTAGCTTGATATGCTTGAAACACACTGAAGCCGGCAGTTTTTTCGTTTCACTGAGGTGCGCTCTGTTCCCCGGTGTTCGTCACTGACGCCCGAGAGATCCAATCGCATCGGTCTGACGCTTGCTGCAGGTGCCTGTGTGACGAACTGAGAAGTGTGACACCCATGTGCACCTCGAGCATTCAGGCTGTTCTTTCCCACTCGCTTGGCATGTTGTCAGGTGCTTCTTGCTGGTGGAAGCTCAGACGAAGGCAGAAAGTGACATCGCGGTCACTGGTTGCTCAAGAGGAGCGAACAGGTCTGTACTGCCAAGACGCCCGGTCGCAGCGTTCCATCCTGCATTGATTGCATTCGCAGTCGTGTGCATCTTTTTGAGTTTCTTTGCTGCCATGATGCTGCAGGAAGACCTATCAAGCCTTCCAGGAGCTGGAAGCAGCGTGCAATGTTGCACCATGGCTTCTTGCCTGTAGTGGTTGCCGTTCGCTGCTTGTGCCTGTCTGCCTGCCAGGATTCATCAGTGCAGCTTTGCTGCAGAAGAGTCTAGTCCGTGAGTGCGAAAGTCAGAAGTCTGTACACATCTGTACATGCGTAGCTCCTGGTACCTCCAGTCTAGCCTCTTGGTGATAGATACGGCCGTGCACAAGGTCAGCGATGACATCGTCAAGGCCATCTGCGACTTTGCAGACCAGCACAGGAGCTGCCGCCCAGCATTTATGACAGAACGACAGCAAAAATGAGCAAGAACGTCCAGCACGTAATCGTCCTTTGCGTCAGAATCATGTCTGCAAGGACGGACCAAGTGGTGACCTGGATCACCGGGAAGCGCGTCCAGGCCAGCCAACACCAGCCTATTTCGGCTGTCGCTACGTTGTGTCGGCTGCCGTGCCATGCCAGGTGTATCTGCTGGGTGTAAAGAGTGAGCCTTTCCTGGAATATGCAAGAAGCCCTGAACTCAGTGCATGAAGGTGTTTTGTTTCTCCAGCATGAGCACTTGCAACTTTTCGTGTGTGTGTGTGTGTGTGTGAGGCCACGAGCTCTCGGACCTTATCCTGGGCTTTCTGGATGAGCTCAACTCCCAGCTGCAAGCCGTGGCCGAGGTGCTCCAGCTCGGCAAGTATCAGGCAACAGGATCTTCCATGCATGGTCTATCTGAGGCCAATGGTGGCGAAGCGTCGGAAGACATCGCAGCTCTCGTGGGCGCAGAAGAAATGCAGGCGACCATTGCCTCGACAGAATTTAAGACCGTTTCAGCAGGGAAACGCGACGACATGCAGCGAGCTTACTTCAGGTACCCCATACGGATCTTCTTCCAGGACAGGTGCAGGCTGGGCTATCCAGAGCAGATGCTACCAGATTTGGCCGTACTCGCGTGGATGTCTTGTTGAACGCGCTGTGCCATGTGATCGGCACTGCAGCACAAGACAAGCGAGGTTTCTCTGAGATATTCGCGGCGATGCCTGTCAGGTTATCCTGGCACTTACACCGACCACTTCAACCTTGGTCTACGACCCTTCGCAGGACAGGCACCAGCAGTTTGCACTGTTTTTTCCAAAAGTAGCAGAGGAGACCTATACACAAATAAGTGTTATGTATACATATATATATATATGCATATGTATGTACAATTTCATAGAGAATGTAGAGGTTCCCTGGACTCCCTATCAAGGAGCGGCTAAGCCGGGAGGAGATCGCTTCGGAAATGGGGGTCCGGAAGGAGGACCTGGAAGACGAGGGCCTCTTCGGCTTGGTGTACAAGAGCTGCTGGCCTCGTGTTAGGGTATTTTCATTATTTTTTCCAGCATCCCGGACGTCTGTAAGTCTAGGGGTCTCGTGCTGCAAGATGCAGCACATGAAAAAACAACTTTGACTTGGAGGCTTTCCTCTGGTCCTTCCCGTGGAGCACGTCTACGATCACATGGTTGAGTCCTACAGCGGCAACTTCGCTGCGGGCGATGCCGTGCAGATAAAAGACGGAATCGTGCATGCTGGTCCCGGCTGCAAAGATGAGCCGGGGAAGCCCCGCGTTGTGATCTTCATGACCTACAGGCGCAATCTGTCACAGTGTGCCACCGTGTGTCACAGCGGGCCGAGCAGCACAGCGGACAGAGAGAAGAAGGGAAGGAAAATGACAGAAGACAAAGTGCGACAAGGTTCGTCCGTCCATTGGTGTGTTTCAGTGCCAGGACTACCCGAGAAGAGCACTACGAGCTGACCTTCCAAGCAAAACTCTGGGACTGGGCTTCGCATCCTGCCGTTCACCCAGGATGCTCCAACTGAGGGGCTCTCAATTTCATACACGGTGCCTACAGCAGGGTTGTTTGCGCTGTAGGCGATACCTCCCATGGTCGCCTACAAGCGCCTTCGCGAAGTCTACACCTACGGTCAGCGGAAGGGCGGCTCCGCGGCACGTGGGGGTGGTTAAGCCTGCTGAAAGAGGCTGCTTCCGGTTTATAGTTCATTGCTTCAAGCCCCTACGTACGGCCTTCGTGGGCGAGCCCGGGGCCAACGGACAGACCTGGGCCACCAGCTTGTGCGAGGCATGGAGCATGAGAACCTGAGGTATGGACATCAAGCCATGGACGTTCTACCCGCCAGAAAGCTCGGAGGCGGCACTGTCTTGCTGTTCATAGACCGCTTTTTCACAATCAGTGAATTCCGTAGTTGCTTTCGAGGCTTGCCAAATGCTGTGCACCACCGGCGGGCTGGACGAGACCATGGTCGACCCTTGAATCTTCACTGCTCCGACTGTAAGCTTATTCTTGAGAGCACCCTCTCAGCTATCCACCTTGGCATCATTGGAAACCTGCCCTGTCTGTTGCTTAGGGTTGGAGATCTTGAAGGTGTATTTAGTTGTATAGACACATTCCCAAACATTCCAAGACACCAGCACCAACGAGCGAGCTGAAGCTAAAGTTGGTGACACTATTGTAAGCATCTTTCGATGCATGGATGACGGCACTACCACAACCCCCGATTACATCAAAGTGCATGGCCAAGGAAGCTGAACCCGGACCCAGGGCAGGCAGACAGAATGTACATCGTTTGATAGAAAGCACATGAAAGAATAGAAGAGAGCGAGCGCGAGTTTGTTCAGGCAGGAAGAGCAGGGATAGTCAATAGTGAGAGGACAAAAGGCGAATAATGAGAGCTTGGCTTACTTCAAGGATCTTCTCGTGTCCGAGTGGCGCGATATGCTCTACGATGAGAACGTCCCTTGTCTTGTGAATGGGTTTGAAGGGCCCAGCGCATGTAAGTCATACCATCTGTCTATCTGTCTTTGCGAGAGTCAATGCGTTGGCTCTACACTGAGGTCCAATTAATCGATCGTGAGCAGGAGAAGGCTGAAGCCTGTCTTCACTTGTCAGGCTTGCAGAGTGGAGTGAGCATGCAGTTAAGTTCTGTTGAGCTTAGGAATTGCTCTACGACTAGTCTGAGCTTGATCCTCGACGTCTTCACCTACGCGGCTTGATTTTCAGCCCCAGCTTGAGCCCTTTCCGTGGAGAGGCCTCGTGAGAATCAGGGCTCCGCAAGTCTTTGGATCGTTTAGGCTCCGGGTGGCTGATGCGATGATGCGACAGCGTCTGAAAGATCCCAAATGAACTCCTGAAGGAAGGAGTGTTTGGTTGATCGCTGCATCACCGACCTCATAGACTCAGACTTTGCATTCAGAACAAGAACGAGCAAAAAAAGGGCAAGCGAGCTGGCCTTCAAAGGCATTGGTTTCGGGGCACGTTTCAAAGAGTCCAAAGAGGATGGCCCAGCTTCTCCCACAGCCTCGGCAGAGGCCTCAGGATTTTTGGGGCATCGCTGCGAGAGGCAATTTCTTCTTCGGCCTGCTGAGGTGTTTGAGGCAGATCCGACGGAGTCGCCAGAGAGACGCTTGGGAGGCGCATTTCAGGCCGCGTCAGACTTGCTCGACGATGTGCGACACGGAGCCCCTAATCAGAAGAAGTGTCCCCTGCGATCGCTGCGGAACATCATGTAGCCATTCGTGATCGTCGGTGCAGATCTCCCAAGACTCGTCTTCGGTGTCTTTGTCTTTGCGCAGGACGACGATGATTGCAGGCACCGTGCTCCAAGTCTCAACACACAACGGAAGAGGGATTGACTTTAGCGACCTGAGCGACTTGCAGAGCTGTTGTTTCAGACTGGACTTCTGCTTCCCTTATGGCTCAAAACGAGGGTGCCTATGGATTCTGTTCGTGCCGTCTTTTGCGTACATGCAGACTGTGCATGCCGCGACTGTGGCACGCGTCCAGAAGCCGCCACGCCATGGCACATATGAGAGGGCGGCAAAGGGCCCCTGCCCTAGAAGGAGCTTGCAGCTGGGGGCCTTTTGGGGAGAAGCTTGCTTATCCATCTTGCCGAGGTGTCCTGGAGGACTTGCAGCGTCAGCTGCCGATTGACCAGTCAATGTTTGCCAGGTATGGTGCGCAAGGCCCTTCCATAAGAACAGCTAATGGCAGCTTTATATTTCAGCAAAAGCCATTCATCAGCCACAGCGTGACGATTGACATGTCAGGCCCAGGGCCCAAGGAAACGACCTACTTGCTCCGCAAGTTGGCTCGCGAAGGTGGCCGGGGAATCGCCGAGAAGGTGCCGCTTTGCCAGGGGAACGCGACACTTAGCGACTGGCCTTCTGTGCTCTTCAATCATGGGAGTCTTGTCTTAACTACCCTGAGACTACAGTATACTGACGATGCTACGCTGCCTGTTCACATCTGCTCATGCTGCAGGTCTTTGTTCAGCTCCGTCAGATGGGATGCGAAGTCAATGTCTTCCACTTCAACACGCTGCTTGCGGCCCACGCCCTTCGGCCGCAGTGCTTACACACAGCCCCCCCCCCCCCTTTTTTTGGGTTTGTTTCTCTCTCAAAGTCTGCTTCAAAGTCCGCTTCTTAAAGTCCGCCTTAAAGCCCATTCGAGGCCGCGGCGGGCTCCTGGCTCCGATGCTGTGCTCTGCTCGGGGAGATGGCCTCCAGAACATCCCCAGACATCTACACGCCACTTAGTTGCAGACGCCTCCTGCACACCTCACCTTAGGAGGGGCCATTAAGACATGATAAGACACGACACGTGTTCAAATTTGTGTTTTTTGGGAGGTACGGCACCCTGGTCAACGCCTGTGAGAAGGGCAGCGCCTGGATCGCCGCATTGGGTGTACTCGTGGCCATGGAATCCGGCCGATTTCGCACCTCGGCTGCGCTATCATCCGCTGTCGCTTCGAACGCATCTTGAAGCGTGTTCGCGCTCTTTCCTCGCTGAGCCTTGCTAGATCGGCCCCTTGGGAGGGACAGGACATGATGGGACGACTGGACAACCTGAGGCCCAGATACGGTGACTTGCAACTCGGCCATCAGTGCGTGCGAGAAGTCTGGGGAGTGGGCCCAAGCCCTTGGCGTGCTGCGGGAGATGATCGCCAAGGAGGCGATTAAGCGTGGTATGTAAAAAGTAAAACTAAGTAAGAGCTCCTTTTGAGAGGTGGAGGTCTCCCCCTTCAGAGATTTGCAGCTACTTGCAGCTGCTACAGCTCCCTCAACTTGTCAGCCAGCTCTCTCCCGCCTCGCTGATCTCTGCTGCCTCCCTGACTCTCTGCTAAGTCTCCCAAGCTGCTTCTTAAATTTGGAACCCTACCCGAGTTCCAATCATCCCAGGAAGAAACCATGAACAGGAGCAGACAAAGTCGCACCAGAAACAACACAAACAGGAGCACAACAAGTCGCAGTCTCCCAAGCAAGAGCCAGTGGACTGCTTATCGTTTCGATACATCACCCAAGCTAAGCAAGAGCCAATGCATGAAGCACCTCAGTGCATTTGTGCATGGCTGAGGTTCAGATCGACACCGTGTCCTGCAGCGCTGTGATCAGCGCATGCGAGAAGGCGTCGCAGTGGGACTGGGCGTTGCACCAACTTGGCCGGATGCGGGAGCTTTCCATCGAGAGCCCCTCGGCGCGCAGCATGAGCCGAGCCCCGTAAGGGGCAATGTCGTTTGGAACCAAGGCAACGCCATCACGCACAGCGCAGCTATAAGTGCCTGCGAAGTGGAAGACGCGTGGCCCCGCGCAGTTTTGCTCTTTGAGACTTGTCGCAAGAGTGGTCGTGCAGAACCTGGTGCCTGCAAAGCCAGCCATGTGGCGGCAAGACACAAAGCATGCAGACACGCCCACACAAGCCCACACACAATGCTTATAGGGCTGAGCGCCCCACCCCAGGATGAGCTCCGGCAAGCGGGAGCTGAACTTGACACGTTCAGCTGGACGGCCTTGCTCTGCGCCTTTGAGAAGGGCCAGCGCTGGCAAGAATCCCTGCAAGTGCTGCAGGACCCTCAATTTCATGACATCGACGTGCACACACATGCACAATCACACACACACACACACACACACACACACACACGTCACAGACACCAGAAACGTTACAAGAAATGGGGGCTGCGTGCAGTGTACTGTACGGTAGGACAAAACTGAGGGAGGTCTTCAGCTGATTTGTCTTTATGTGGTGGCAGAGATGAGTTTCAAAGCATCTCAAAATCCCGGGAGGACATGCCTTCTCAGGATGCCCTGCCAACTCTGCAGCTCAGATAGATTTCGGTTCACGTATCATAACCGCAAGCTTTGTGTGTGTGTGTGTGTGTGTGTGTGTGTGTCCGGTCTTTGTTTGTTGTGCTGTGTTGGTCTGTTGCCTGAGGGTCACCTACAACTCTGCACTCCTCGCCTGCGCACACGGCAAGCAGTGGCGGATGGCCCTCCAGATTTTGTCCGAGCAACAAAGCCATGGCTTGGCCACCTTGCGGCCGTCTAACGAGTTGTTGCGACACACGCAGGGCAATGTAGGGCGTTGGCAGTTGAAGGCTGTACATGCGGTGCTAGTATATGTATATCTGTATATATGCGTATAAACAAATGTATATATATATATATACACATATACATATATACATATATACATATGCATATACACATATACACATATATACATATACATATACACATATATACATATACACATATGCACATATATACATATATACATATACACATATGCACATATGTACCTATACACATATACACACATACATATACATACATATATGTATATACTACCCCCCCCCCCCCAGCGACCTACCCTTTTTAGGCCTTTTTTGCAAAAAAAGAACAACGAAGGCCCAAAAGTCGCATAGTTAATCACCGGGTAATGAAGGACATCTATTGGGACACCCACCTCGCAGGCCCCGATAAGCCAGCATTGGATTGATCTATATTTTGAATCTGAAGCGGACAATGCTGTTTTTGGGTTTTTAGATCTTTGGTTTTTTCTAGGCAAATTGTGTGTTTAACGGGCAAATAATGTTTTGTTGCGCAACTAATATATATTTTTTATAGATACAATTGTGTTTGTACTAGGCAAAGAATTAATCAAATACTATCTGACAAGTCCACTGTAATACCTTATGTTTACATATTCATGAAACATTGTGCTTATTATTATATGCGGTTTTAACTCCTGGAGTATTGAGTAAATAGCCCAAGCGAATACTATTCAAAATACCATACTCGACTAAAATATGAAATAAACACGAATGGCAACGGAAGCGATTCTACTTAAATAGCAATGTAAAAGACTTCTCAAGTACTAAATAAAGACCACTTATGTACCTTCCTAGAGAAGTAGTTAGTAAAGGCCATAGCACAAGAATACTGCTTTGTACATAAAAAGAATTTGTACTAGGCAAGGTATAAACCAGATACTATCTGAAAAGTACACTGTAATAACTTATGTTTACATATTCATGAAATATTTCTTGTTTTGAAATCATCATTCTATGCGATTTATCTACCAGAGTAAGCATTAAGTAAATAGCCCAATCTGAGTCAAATGAACACTATTTAAAATACCATACTCAACCAAAAGGTGAAATAAAAACCTATGGAAACAGAACTCTATTCAAAATACCATACCCAACTAAAATATGCAATAAACACTAATGGAAATAGAAGCGGTTCTACTTACATAACAATGTAAAAGACTTCTCAAGTACTAAATAAGACCACTTATATACCTTCCTAGAAATATAGTTAGTAAAGGCCATGCACAAGAATACTGCTTTGTACATAAATAGAAGGTGTGCTAGGCAAAGTATTAACCAAATACTATCTGAAAAGTCCACTGAAATATCTTATGTTTACATATAGCGCCCAATTTGACTCAAGTGACTACTATTTAAAGGACCATACTCAACCAAAATACGAAAAAAACACTAACAGCAATAGAAGCGATTCTACTTGCATAACAATGAAATCGTTGTTTCTGAAGTATTTCATTAAGACCATTCTGCAAGCTTAAAAATGCACAATCTTCCTAGAAAAGTACTTAGTGAAGGCCATGCACAAGCAAATTCGCAAGTACAGAAACACACTTAAAAATGCGTAGTTATTGCCACGTAAAGGCGAACCAAAAAACCAAAATACAAAAACCAAAAAAACCAAAAAAACCAAAAAACCAAAAACACCAAAACCAAAAAAAACAAAAAAAACAATTTTCCGGAACTCTTGGAGAAGCCTCGTAGGGATTCCTTAGAGTTCCGGAAAATTGTTGTTTTTTGGTTTTTTGGTTTTGTTTCTTTTGTTTTTTTGGTTTTTTTTTGTTTTTTTTTTGTTGTTTTTTTTGGTTTGGTGTTTTTGGTTGTTTAATTGCCCGTGTATTCGGATTTTAGTTTCATTTTATTCTACGCCCTAAGAAACACGCTATATTGCACATCGAGTTTGCTTGCAGTGCAGCTGGATGACTTAAGACAAGGCGAAAAAGGGTAGGTCACTGGGGGGGGTACCATATATATATATATAGAGAGAGATATATATTTAATTCATTTATGTTTTTCTCTTGCATTGCATGACGTGAAAAGCACAGGATAGGCCTGGTTTGGCTTTCCTGGCCAAGGAGCTGGACTCCATTTCCTTCTATAAAGCAATGGATGCCTGCTCAGCTGGCAGCGAGTGGGAGCCTCCACTGCAACAGTTGATTTGCTTCCTCGCGTGCTCTACAGACTGCAGATCTAACTAACGAAAACTTGGAAGTCTTCCTTCAACTTTTCTGCAACGACGTTTCAAAGCTACGCGACCCGCCTTGGTGGCCGTGGCCCTTGGTCCGGAGGGTGGGATCGGAAATACCATTTCCATTCTCTAACCATGCACCACCCCCTAGCACCCAAACCAGAACAACTTATGCCTCAACCTTCAACCCACCAAAAGACCCCAAGACAAGACCCAAAGGATGAAAGCCATACTATGGAACCGTGCACTACCCTACAGAAAGTATCATACGCATCCCCAAAACATGCCCCACCCGATAGTTAGCCCATGACGCCCAACCCGAAACCCCGAACGGTAGAAAATGGATTGATGGACAGGATTGAATGTTTTTTGCAATTTCGGGTTTAGGTTTCTCGGGTTATGGTTGCGGTTCTGGTGTTTCCTCTCATCAATGAATTTGTTCGGAAATTGCGTATTTCCCTTTTCTGCTTTTCGTATTCGGCCTTAGTTTCTGCTTGTCATTTGTCGTTTAGTTTGCTTTCTTTTCTTAAATTACCTAATTTCGTTAAACAGCCTTTCATCAAGACATTTAGTGCCGAGTTCGGATGTAATGCATAATGAATGAAAATGGGCATCCCAGTTTTCGTGTCTTATTTTGTGTCCGCATTCTTGGCATAATTGGCTTCCCATTGCTCTCTCCTCTCTTCTGGCTTGGTTATATTCTTTCTGACTTTTTGTGGCAGTTTCGTTTCGCTTCTCGGCGTTTATTGCATGTCTTAAGCCTGTCAAACTCTTCAGCATCCTTTGATGCACAGCAGGATTTACACATTCTCTTCTCCATCTTACTATATTAGAGAGTCTAGTCTTTAGACATGTAAGACATAGTTGACTGAACAAAGGAAGCAATGGGCGGGAGCACTTCCAAACTTATCATTACCAAACTCTTGTGGTATGCTTATGGTGTAGCAACACGGGTCCTCAAGTTTCTTGGACTTACTTTACACTGTCACGATATAAACAACTATATCTTTAACTAACTGTTTTGACAAATCATTTAACAAATAAACTCAAACAGCATTTTTTAATCCCTCTAGTCATCCATTATGGCACAACCTAGCATTCTACATTCTTATCTTTCTTCGTTCAATTAACCAAGCGCTTTTCTTTTCGTTCTTTTCTTTCTTAAAACACAAACATTCCATATATTAAATATGCATGTACTAGTTCAACTTTTAAAACACGCTGTTTCAACACATCAGTTTCAATTCCTGTACGCTCTATGGTTTTGGTGACTTCAATGTCTGTAGTGTTCTCTTCTATTCTTTGTCATCGGGCGGGCAGGCTATGGGGTTGAGTATGACATTTTCTATGGGGTTATGCATGGTTCCATAGTATGGGTTCTTCAGGTGGGTCTTCCTATGTCTGGGTAGAGTTGAGGTCGAGGTATAGGTTGTTCTGTTTCGGGTGCTAGGGAGTGGTGCATGATTAGACAATGGAATGGTATCTGCTAGCTGAAAGGGGGGTTCAGGGGGAGGTAGGGTATGGGGCTCTTCTGCATGACTTGCCCGCACTTGTTGTCTGCAGGGTTTCGTGCGCTGCTTACAATATCAAGCCGCGTGTTCTGTACATATCTCCGTCGTTTTTGTTCGCTGAAACGGTCCTTGACAAATGTCGCGCACATCTGGTGCGCTTGAATTACTTATCCTGCCACACGTCGGCCCACATGCGCTCCAAGAGGCCGCGACACATACCAGGGCCACAACCCTTCCAAACCTGGCTTCTGGAATCCCCGAGCTCCTTCCTCTCGCCTGCTTTCATATCAACATTCGACACCCCGACACAACTGATGTTTGGTCTCGGCCTTTGCCCCTTTGGCACTCTGTCCTGTTTTTTGGTTTTGTGCACGTCGTGTTTCGTTTCTAATATCGCATTCCGGCATAGGTACGCTCGGAGTACTGCAGAATGAGAATCGCCCAGTTAGTGCTTCGTTTACTTGAGGTGCATGGGTTTCTGAAGGGACTGCGGTCGCCTGGACCAGTGTACCGAGACACGCTGGCATGTGGATATGCTGAGGAGCGAGCTCTCCGATTGCTGGAGGACATGATGGAAAGCAACATCGACGGGCTGAAGGAGCCTTCTCCTTGAAATTTTACATCTCATCTCAAATCTCTTCAGAAGATATCCGCAAATACAGAGCGTGAACCACCGGTAGCTGAAGATCTGGTTCTGTGTTTGAGGTGCAGGCGAAGCCTTGCTACGATCACCAGTTGCAAGCAGGGAGTGCTTTAGACGCTCGGCCCTGACAAGTTGTTTGAGTTTGTGAAGCGCTTTTTTTTCTCCAGTAAACAGAGTCACTACGTGTTGGCAGCTGAGTGCAGAGTTTATATTCAGGACTGCTTCAAGCATCTGGTCCTGGCGAGTCTGCTGGAGCGTATGGCCCAGGAGCCGCAGAGCTTCACGTATGCAGACACCCATGCGGGCTGGGGTCTCTACGACCTCTCTGCTCTGGAAGTTACCATTCACCAAAACCACCTCTATGGAATCACGGCGTTGCCTGGCTGAACCGTTGGTGAAGTGTCATAGCAGGACCCGACATCGAACTGTCGTATAAGTAGCAGGTTGGTCGAGAACGGGAAGAAGTCCCCTCAGTGCACGATCCAGCCTCTTAGCCTAAACCTGTTCTGGATGTGGCATCGCAGGGTCTCTGATCTGTGTCTGAGCCTTCGAATTCGAGGCACTTCCTGACCGCCCTGCGCTCCCTGAATGGTGTGAACGGTGAAGCTGAGCTTCGCCGATGCTTGGGCTCGCCAGGGCTGGCGCTGCGATGGCTGAGGCCCTTGGTTACTTGGGCAGGGCTTTCAGGTTTTTTTTTGGGCTCTTGTTGACAGCGATTGGCAGTAGCATGCACGAGGCCACAGGACAAAGCCGTCTTTTTCGAAGTTGCTTCCCATGTGCCAGCACCCGAGTCTCCTGAGTCGCCAGAGGCATGCTTGGACTGCTTGGATAGGGGTGGATGCGTAAAGCTGGCAGAGTGTGCTGGCCCCAGCAGTTTTGACGCGTTCTGGCTGTTTCTCCGAGGCACGCGGCGCTGCAGCGCAACCTTCAAGAATTGAACGCTTGGCCACTTGGCTCGTGGCGGGAGAAGGCTGCAGGCAGATCAAACATGCTGGCAGTTGTTTTGCGGAGATTTCAGAATCAGCAGGGCAGCCAAGGAGCAAAGTAGCACCGTAGGTCCTCAGGTGATTTACATCGGTCCCGGGACTGAGAAGCAAGCAGGGGTGTGAGACAGGGCAACTACCGATCCCCACACCGATACCCTTAACTGGTATGAGTCCTGTTGGTTTCCCTGATTCCCTACAGTACCGATGCCCCGACCGACTTGAGTGCAACCGATAACGTGTTGCGCAGCAGAGGTTGGAGAAGCCCCGGGTGGAGGTGCTGCGGCAGAACTCTTACACCTTGACACTCGGCATTGTTGCTTGCCGCAGACGCTTTTCATGAGGGATGTTGAAGGGCACCTGCACCACTGATCACCAATGTGCACCGCACGAACTGCCCAGGACTCCTGAGGCCATCTCCCGGAATTTTCAAGGGCGAGGACAGGGCGGGCTTGTGGATGTCAGCTGGCAGTGTCACCCGAAGCCGTGTCCAGGCCTTGTCCTGATTGACTCGCCCTACGAGCCCTACACTGAGTACCTGGCGTGGAACCTGTCCAACGCCCAGAGTCCACAGCAGTGCTGCATCCTTCATCGGTGGATGTGCCGCTCTGGTGCTCCCGGCTTTTGCCACCCTTCCACTCCTTGGGGGGGATTTCCTGATTTCTCGATGATTTCTCAAGGTCACTCCTGCGTTCTCTCCGGCGGTCCTGGCCTTCGAGCTGTGTGGCAGTGTGGTATCCGGCATTTAACCCAGAGCCGCCAAGCTGCATCTAGCATGGAAAGTATAACACCGTGTAGCATCGTGTAGGTACATGTAAAGAGTTTTTGTTCATTTTCCCTTGCCACTACAGATATAAACAAGTTTCTGCATGTGTATACAGCACAGCTATCTGACAGAGCCTGAGGCAGACGACCAGCCTCTACCATCGCTGCTTGGCCGGAAGCAATCCTGTCGTCTCCTTCAAACACTTGCTTGTGGCTGCCCTCTGAGCTGAGAGGGGTGAACTTGTTATTGGCTGCTCAGAAAACCCTGAGTGCGTTAAGGGCTGATCAGAGGTGTGCTCCAGTGGTTTCGTTCCAGAAAGCGCTCAGGGTCCATGTGCCATCGATCATGAACATGATTCGTTCATCATGGCTTGATGTTCGTAAGGCGCAAAGGATCTGCAGGCAAGATGGGTCTTGATAGAGAGATGGCGAGTAACGGACATCTGCAGACTTGCATTGCACAGGTCGGAGACGTGTTGGTTGCAGAAATGAATGTCACATTGGAAGGCATGGCTAGTTCATGTCGGATGACGTGTTGATGTCGTTTTGTTGATGAGTTCGCCAGGCAGTGAAGCTCTGGCAAGTTCAGGCATCGTCTCAACAGTTTTCTGCACACTTGGTCAGTGTCTTTTGTGCGGTGTCTTGTGTAGAGCTCGCTGCCACGGGCTTGCAGTGAAGGTGTTTTGCTGGTAAACGCGCCGCCCGAGATCGAAAACGAGCTTGGGGAAATGTTGTCCGAGCTCGGGCAGCTTAACTGTCGAGTCTAGTGTGGGATTTTTCCCAATGTGTTCCGCGCGCTTGTGGTTTTGGGCTGTTTGGGCTTCTTGCAACCTGACGGTGACCAGGCAGCTGCTGAGCCTGAAGCAGGGCACCGCTGTCACAAGTGCAGTTTTCTGGCTGTGAGCGGTTGGGCTTTCTTGGTTTTTGCTGATCTGCAGCACCTGCGTGGCTCTTCGAAAAAAAGCGAAGAGAGGGCCTCCTGGATCTGTCAGAACAGGACAAGGGCGAAATCATAAATCCCCGATCCAGGCAGAGCGGTCGAGAAGCACAAGGCTCGACCAAGGCTTGGCTGCTTTTTTTCAAGAGTCTGAGTTAGTTAGGATAGTTAGGAAGGGGCTCGTGTCGAGTTCGTGGCCATGGGCGGCTTTCTGAGAGTCGGTTCAAGTTTTTCTTCGGATGCTTTTGGGGCTGAGGTGTCAGTCTGCCGGGGCATTGTGAGTGCTTCGCTGCTGCGTGGCAGCTCGTATGGTATCCCTCGTATTGCATCTCGAAGTCGGGGAGCTGGCATGCGTCAAGATCTCATGTCGTAAGTCTGTGCCTTCGACTGAAGTACAACAACGGCAATGCCTTTGGCGTAAGCACGTGCCCCTATGGCTGGATCACGTGGCTATAACTTACTTAGCATTCCCGACCCCAAAGTCCTGCAAATGCACCAAATGATCTGCTCTCTAGGGGTCTCCAAAATCCGCCCGAGTCGTGGCCTCAGCTCCACACACACAGGTGTTTCAGCAGAAGGGGTCCTGTGCCCTCGGCCGACAGGCGCCGTCGTCGTCCGAGCAGGAGGCCGTGCCCAGCTTCGAGAGAGCCTCCCTTGAATCGGCTAGGATGGTTCATGGGTTCATGGGTTCATGGCATCGGGATTGTTTTTCTGCTCCGGAGGCGTTAATACTCTCAGAAGATAGGTGCATGGCTGTGATGTGTCTAGCAGGCTGCGTCGTCTGCACCAAGCAGGGCCCCGGTCTCGACTTGTCGTTCACAGTCGAAGGGGTTGAGTTGGGCAAGTCATACGGGAAAGTCGGGAGGGGTACGAGATCACAACACTTGCGGCCGTTTCAAAGTGACCTCAACCATCCTCAATCTCCATGCGCCTGCGTGTCTGCCCCAAACATCGCTTCGTTTCCTCAGGCCACGCCTGTCCTGAGAAGGCACCCGGGCCCTTGAACATCTGGCATCAAGCACGGTCAAGCACATGCATTTTTGGCGTTGCCACAGTTGTGGTTTTGTGCTGCCGCCGTGGGCTCCATGAACAGCTCCGCAGAAATCCTGTCGCCAAGCCTCCCCCCTCTCGCAAGTGCGGAGCACAGCGAAGGGCGAAGCTTGGGGTCTTTCTCGCATTGGTCACCTGCCCTCCTTCCCTTTGTATATGCGCTGTGCCTTGGCTCTGTCCCTGCTCACTGCGGACATGAAATGCGCTGTTACATGCCCAACACATCCCAAAACCCTGTAAAGCGATGGGAACACCTGAAAAGCGACACCGCTAAGTTAGTGAACCGTTGGGTCTGCTATAGCCGTGGATTTTGCCCAAAGCGACACCTGCATACATCAAGCGTTCACAACTGACGCTAAAACCCTGTAAAGCGATTGGAACACCCCTCATGTCCATTAGCACCACCAGCCGGATTTGGCGGTTTTGGCAGTCGCTCACATGTCTGCTTGGCCCGCCCCAAGGTCGAGGTGTGACAGCTTCCGAACCGATGGTTCTCCTGGCATGTCTTGGACACACCTTGCTCAAGTATGCTCAAGTTGGGTCTGCAGCGCTGCCAAAGGCACCGAAGAAGAGGCCTGCGGCCAGCACCAAGGCCTTCGCTTTGGGACCCTCTGATTCTTTTGCCCATGCCGACGCATCCTCTGTCCCCTCCCTCTGTCAGTCACAAGCTGTAAGACCGCATGCAGGAGAAGCACTCTTGGCTTGGCAGTATTTGGGCATGTTTGAGCACAACACTACTACGCGAAGCGGCGTAGCGGCTAGCAGGTAGCAGATAGACCGGGGGGGGCACCCCCGCATCTCGTCGCTCTTGCCGCCCCTTCTGGGCTGCGAAGGCCTCGATTACAATCAGCGGTGGCACTTTCCTCAAGAAGCATGGCATCCAGGAGCCGAGCTTACAGCTACGGGGGGTTTTTTGGAGAGCTTGCAGCAGTTGGAAGGAAGTCTTTTTGGTGGCTTTGCAGTCTGTGGGGGATGTCAATTCCCTTCCTTTCCGACTGTCGCAGGATGCCCTGGAGACGATTTTGGCAGAGTTGGAGGATGCGAAGCCTTCCGACCCCTGGACGAGCCTACAGGCAGAGTTCTCAGTTCTCGGGCTCAAGACCGTTTCAACTTCGCTTATTGTACCTGAGCATCCATTCCTTCAGCGCCACCTACTTGAGCACTCATTCAGATTCCGTGTCTGTGCGCTTGGAGCTATATGGAATGGGGAGCTTCTTTCAAAGTAGCACGCCATCCAAGGCTGCGCTGCAAGAGAAGTCATGCAAGAAGGCCAAGATGGACGAGGAGGCGCGGCGCACCCGCACCACCCACACCATCCCACACCCACGCCCACATTCTCACTTGGAAGGGCCTTTCTAGCGCGATTGGCCTGCATTTTTTCCTGTGAGGTCTGCTGGACCGCCTTTCCATCGAGCTGACCTCAGCAGTGAGCAGGTACCTGTGCCTCACTGCCTCAGAATCACGCACTTTCTGAATGTTGAACGGACTCGTCCACTACAGCTTAGGCCCGGAGATTTGGTTTGGCGAGAGGCAGGGGGGCGGGTGGCCTCTGCATTGAGCACACCGTCGACATTTCCCCAGGGCCCATACTGTCAAGCCTTTGCTTTTGATGCTTTTCTGTTCGGATGATGGTTGTTTGCCCGTATAAAACCTTCTTGTTGTTATTGTGCTGTCTGCATTTGGACGACCCGATATCCATGAACTCGGCAAAAGGAGATAGGGGTGTACCCTGGTTAAAGTTCGGAGTGCTGGCAGCCTGTGACCCTAAAACCCTAGGACCCTGCAAATCAAGACCTTTGAGTTGCCAGGCCGCCAAAGCACGATCAGAAGCAGGCGCCTTGGCTTAGATGGGCTTTGTTTGGGGCTATGTATCTTGTCAGATTGTTCGTCCCGCTCCTCTTGGAACGAATCTGAGTAGTTCTTTTTCGCCCTGGTCTTATGTCTGTTGTATTGTAGCCAAAGGCAGGAGGTTTGTTGGGTTTTCAGATCCACTTCGGGATTGATGCCAAGATGTTGCATGACACCCTGCTTCGTCCATGCCTGCGCCGACGCAGCAGATCATACTGTGTAGTTGGTAAGTCATTGTACCCTCCACACGTCACTGGTGTTCCTCAGAGGACATTAGAGAACCTCGTGTGCGTGGATCTTGCGCGACAGGAACCAGTTCCGGCGTGGCATCGATCGTCTGCAAGGGCCAGGACGCAACAGACACGCCATGCTCGCGGCTCACCTAGGTGCTGCCTTGTAGCTATCCAAGATGAAGCGTGCGAGCCAGGGTGTAGCCGGCCCCAGGCGTCTTTTTTGTGACATGGGCTCGGGAACCGTTCCTCCTTGTGGCAAACCCCCCACCACGAAATTTCGTTGCCTGCAGGGAGGTGTCCAAGACCGGCCCCATGACACAAGTATATACGAACGTAACAGGGTGGGCCCGGGGACGGGGGGGCGGACACTGCAACGTAGTGCCATGGATCGTCAACAAAGTACTTGTAGCTGATTTGTGCCATCCATGCTGTCACCTCCTCCAGCTCCAGCTGTGCGGTGAAGGACCGGAGTTTCCCCGTGGATCCAAAAGACACTGTCCGAGGCTTTGCTCGGCAACAGAGGATTGAACGAGAGTTTGTGCGCTGGTGCTGAGTATTGGAAGAAAGGTACACAAACTCAACACAGCTTCTGATGAAGACCGTATGCAACTGCATGCGAGAATCGTTCATTACATTAGGAGGTACGTTTACTCTAAGGCACTGGTTCTCATCGACATGCAGTTCGACTTTCTGGAGTCTACCGGACGAGTTGGCCAGCATTACAAGGCGTACAGCCTTGTCATAGAAACGCTTTGAGATGCAGTTTCAGCGAGCTGCCAGACGATGCTTGCGTCGCAAGTAGTAATGTCCCTTCCTGCTTCGTTGGCCCTGCTGGCCGGACTTCTTTGTGGCTGCAGGCATGTTGAAAACTTGCTGACAGGGACGTGCAACGCCCAGCCAATCCTACCAACAAGCTAAGGGTTACCTCATGCATCTCGTGATACATCGTGTGTGTCGATAGCTGTGCCTATGCGCTATGGCTGTGGACGCGCGGCTCTCGGAGCAGCTGCTTACCGCTTCTAACAAGGCCAGGGCATGAACATAGCGATAGTAGCAATGGTGAGCATCTTATGCACCTGCAGATTCTGATTCAGTATGCAGTCATACGAACAGTTGAATGAAGATGTCTTGTCTTCATCGCCTCAATCATGAGAGTATTACTCCTACGTATCCTTTGAATCAGAAGAGCACATGTGCAAAATGGACAGCGATCCGCTGAAGACGCAGAACCAAGTGTTTCATGTAAGGTCAAATCCACAAACAGATGCTGTTCATGAGTTTCCATTCATGGATTCGACATGCAGTTGGTAATCATGATTGTATGGAACAATCTGGGAATGTATCGTGCATACAGGTGTTTTGTCGAGATTTTGACGTGTAAGCATGGTTGTACTAAGCTAACAGAGAAAGAGAAGGTGGATCATGGGACCAAGCAGGTATATCGCAGGACAACAGTAGACAAATAGTAGTATGGGGCATAGGGAAGGGAGCTGAGGACGCTCAGTCGTCTAGGCCTTGGCTTGAGGCCTCGGTACCAGAATGTGCCAACAGAATCTAAAGAAATCCTGGCGTTGTCAGTTGTATGGTAGTTAACTTGTTGTGATTGCTTCTTGTGTCACTAAATAAACACATCATCACACTACTAGGAGTTCAGTTCTTTTGAGCTGAGTAATGAATGTGATTGGAGGGGTGTTCAAGGTTTGAGGCTTGGGATGCATGTGTAAATTGAAAGAGAAGAAGCCGATGGCAGGGGCTGGTGGGCCTGGTGCCACTTCTCCTGCAGAAAGGCGCGTCTGTCAATTGGACCCGCCGGGGGCCTCAGCCACAGTTTGGGTTTTCACACCTGCTTCCGGGAGAGGCCACCGGACAAGATAGCAACCGTTTACAGAGGACTTCCCAAAAGCGTCGGCATGCTGTATGAGCAGTGCCTATACTAGGCCTTTGGCCAGCATTCAAGGCCAAACGTTTTCCTCATGGCACGAGAGCATCTGCGGAAGTCTAAAGGGAGAGCTCCTCGTTTTGTTCATGCGATGGAGCCCTGGGATGAGATTCCGCACATCTACAGTGTTTGCAGCACGTGTGGCTACGTGCCACATGCAAGGGCTGCGGTGCTGCTGCTGCTGCTGCTGCTGCTGCTGCTGCTGCTGCGGCATGTGAGCAGCATATCTTATCACGACAGAAGCTGCACTTCGGTACTGCATGGGTTCACCCGCGCCATATGAAAAACTACAGGGGGGCATGCATGCGGTGCATACCCCACAAGGTCAGGCGACTGAGTAGGTTGTGATGGCTAGCGGCTAATGGCGAGGTGCATGACGGTGCCTATACTAGGCCTTTGGCCAGCATTCAAGGCCAAACGTTTTCCTCATGGCACGAGAGCATCTGCGGAAATCTAAAGGGAGAGCTCCTCGTTTTGTTCATGCGTTGGAGCCCTGGGATGAGATTCCGCACATCTACAGTGTTTGCAGCACGTGTGACTACGTGCCACATGCAAGGGTTGCGGTGGTGCTGCTGCTGCTGCCGCCGCGGCTGCTGCTGCTGCTGCTGCTGCTGCTGCTGCTGCGGCATGTGAGCCGCATATCTTATCACGACAGAAGCTGCACTTTGGTACTGCATGGGTTTCAGCCGCGCCATTTGAAAAACTACAGGGGGGCATGCATGCGGTGCATACCCCACAAGGTCAGGCGACTGAGTAGGTTGTGATGGCTAGCGGCTAACGGCGAGGTGCATGACGGTGCCTATACTAGGCCTTTGGCCAGCATTCAAGGCCAAACGTTTTCCTCATGGCACGAGAGCATCTGCGGAAGTCTAAAGGGAGAGCTCCTCGTTTTGTTCATGCGTTGGAGCCCTGGGATGAGATTCCGCACATCTACAGTGTTTGCAGCACGCGTGACTACGTGCCACATGCAAGGGTTGCGGTGCTGCTGCGGCATGTGAGCCACATACCTTATCAAGTGGCACCACAGCAGCTGCTCTTCGGTACCGCGTGGCCTTCTGTGGAGATCCGGTTGGTTCCACCGGAAAATGAACTCCGGGGCATACATTCCTCGCAAGGCGACTGACGTTGTTGTGCTGGCTAACAGCCTAGACAAGCCGTTTCAGGCAAACAAAAACCATCGGCAGAAGTCCAGTCAACATGTGCGAGCAAGTGTACCCGTTGGTCCCTTGGCAAAACACAGACGGTGCGTGACAGTGCCTATACTAGGCCTTTGGCCAGCATTCAAGGCCAAACGTTTTCCTCATGGCACGAGAGCGTCTGCGGAAGTCTAAAGGGAGAGCTCCTCGTTTTGTTCATGCGTTGGAGCCCTGGGATGAGATTCCGCACATCTACAGTGTTTGCAGCACGCGTGACTACGTGCCACATGCAAGGGTTGCGGTGCTGCTGCGGCATGTGAGCCACATACCTTATCAAGTGGCACCACAGCAGCTGCTCTTCGGTACCGCGTGGCCTTCTGTGGAGATCCGGTTGGTTCCACCGGAAAATGAACTACCGGGGGCATACATTCCTCGCAAGGCGACTGACGTTGTTGTGCTGGCTAACAGCCTAGACAAGCCGTTTCAGGCAAACAAAAACCATCGGCAGAAGTCCAGTCAACATGTGCGAGCAAGTGTACCCGTTGGTCCCTTGGCAAAACACAGACGGTGCGTGACGGTGCCTATACTAGGCCTTTGGCCAGCATTCAAGGCCAAACGTTTTCCTCATGGCACGAGAGCGTCTGCGGAAATCTAAAGGGAGAGCTCCTCGTCTTGTTTCCTGCGTTGGAGCCCTGGGATGAGATTCCGCACATTCATCCCCACAGGATGGATTGTATGAAAGAACAGGGTGCTGTGAGTGAGGCTGCCCCTTTCGTGAGGCGCCGATGGCTGGACACCCCTGATGTCCGCCTGCAGTGGCGGGCATTTGGCCGTGGCCCAGCTCCTCCTCGATGCAGGCGCCTCGGTGGATGCCGCAGCCGACGATGGCTTCACGGCCCTCATGGAGGCGGACTCCCTCATGACAGCCAGACAATCTTTTAAGAATAATCAGTCGCAATCATGGCAGAACATGTGCTAAACGCCAGTGCGCACCCCGGTGCGAATGGTCACCGGGTCTTATGATCCATAGAGGATGATAGAGGGTTAGGCTCTCAATATCTCTCAATTTCGAGGCATACACAGAGTGCTCGTAGGCGGTCTACACAGGGTCCGTAGCGGTCCAGGGAGTTCACAAGACAGGAAGGTCCACGCGAAGTTTATCGGGGGTTCCACAGCGGGTCCAGCATGGTCTTTCCCTGGAATGAGACATTTCAGGAGCCCCAGACAAGAAAGCAGGTGGGAATCTTTGCCTTTGGGTAAACCCGGTAGACGAAGGTGAATCGTGACGCAATGACGATAAACGATACGGCTAGTGACTCCAGATGTAGCCGATAGTGGCCTTGCTGAGTGGAGCAGGCTTGGGAGCTGGGGCTGGGCGACTGAGAGAAAGTCAGAAAGCACTGTTGTTTACTATGTTGTGCGAGGCCTGCACGGGCGGTCATGTGGACCTGGTTTGTCTCCTCTTGGAGCACGGGGCTAGCATTGCCCATGCCACCCCCAGTGGGCGCACGGCAGTGATTATGGCCAGCCTGCATCTCGGCCATCACTTTGACCACTTCGCTCGGTAAGCGCAAGACGCATTTTGTAGGGTGGGGCCAGGGCGGCCCCTAGAGTGCCCCCAGAGGTTCACTGATGTTCTCTGTGTAAGGTACGGGCACACGGATGTCGTGGAGCTACTCCTGCAGAAGGGTGCTGACCCGAAGCCCAACAAGTTCACGGCGCTGCATGCTGCCTCTGGGAACGGCCAGGCCAGAGCAGTTTTTTGTGAGGCATCGAGGAGTCAGCTTCAAAGTCAAGAATTCGCTTTCTGAGGCGGGGGTGGTGCAGCTCCTTCTGAGTGGCACCGAGTTTGTGGAGTCCGAGGAGACCTCGGAGGCACTGATCTCGGCTTGTGCCAACGGGTGCCCTGGCCAAGAGATTCCAAGAGATGCCAAAGACGAGCATCGGAGCACGCATGGACATGCTGGAGCATATAGGAGCATGGTGCTGGAACTTGCAAGTCACGTACTCGGACTAGAAGAAACCGCTCTCAGCCCGCCGACACAGAGAAATCTGCATCTAAGGCACGTCGGAGTAGCCCAGTTGCTACTGGAGTTTGGGGTGTCCCCTTGCGTTTCTGCATCGGATGGCACCACAGCCCTCATGAAGGCCGGTCATTGGCGGTTCTTTGGCTCGGCGTGTGTCTCGATTTGTCCTGTATGCGCTTGCATACGACATGTGCTGCCTGTGCAAAGGCGTGCATGGGAAGCCACAGAGAGGTTGCTGCCGAGCTCATCCTCCGTGGCGCAAACGCCACTCCGCCTGAGATTCGCAGCTTGCTACATGTGCAATCTCTTGCAATTTCGCCATGGGCATCCATGAGCAACCAGGTGGAGGAGGCCCTGAACTCGGCCCGTCGACGGAAGATGCCCGGCGTCACCCGCGTCCTGCAGCGTGCCGTCGAAGAGGCCGAGACTATGCGAGGCCCAGGGGCTCAGAAGGAGCACCACGTTGGATACAAATGGCATGGATTGACACCACGAGTCCGAGCCATGCTTGTGTCAGGGCCACGTCCAGAACAGCGTGACCTCGAGAAGCTCGTGAGGAAAATCGAGGGGCCACCAAAGGCGCCATAGGCACAAATTGGACATGTCCGGTCAAGAGGCCAAAACAATGTCGATGGACGCGCAAGTGGAGTTGATTCTAACGTTGGGCCAGGTCCACAAGCGCTCCCGGCATCTCTCAACGGGCACCGCTTCCACCTCCACTGCTGTGGCGGAACCTTCAGCCACTTGACTCACTTTTGGCTACGGAAGGGATCCGAAGTTTTGAGGAGTACCTTCTGGAGCTTCGAGGGCAGGGCACGTGCAGGCACTTCGGCTCAGACAGGCTGAAAAGGCTAGTGGCGAGTGTGTCCTTCCGTCCAGTTCAATAAGTTCAATCGTATGTACGTAGCTGTCGATCTGTCGATGTACATCAATGAGACACTTATATACCTACATCATTGTCATCATTGCATACTGCAGTATTCAGTAGTCTGACTGCGATAGTGCTTTGCAGAGCATCTTCGCTGGTTGCTGAACCAAGCAGTAACCGCTGAGCCTAGAGCAGTCAGAGGAATGTCGCGTGCATAGGGTCTTGTGGCGCCGGCTATCATCATGTCGGTGACCATTGAGGTGAGCTTGATAAGCGGCAGAGGAGTTTCAGTAGAAATCGATCTAGATGCTACAGTTGAAACATTGAAGCAGCGCGCACAGACTGCTTTGTCTGTGGGCAAGGGGCGCATCTTGGATTCTTCAGGAGTTCTTCTGCCTGAAGGGGCAACATTGAAAGAAGCCAAGTTGCAAAGCGGAGACTCGTTGACCTTGCAACTGGGCAGGGTTGAAGTACGCAGCAACGGACGTGCATTTGCTGCCATCCTGGGCGATGGTTCCCTCGTGACCTGGGGCGATGGCCTGTGTGGTGGATTTCGCAATGCCGCTTTGCAAGCGAGGCTCAGGAACGTGCACCAGATCCAAGCCTCGTATTCTTCTTTTGCTGCGCTCCTGGACGATGGATCCGTCGTGGCCTGGGGCCATTTTCGATATGGTGGCGACGCCGATGCTGTTCAGGACCAGTTGAAGAATGTGCGGCAGATCCAAAGCGCTCACTGCGCATACGCTGCCATCCTGATAGATGGGTCTGTTGTGACCTGGGGTGATGCTTCTCGGGGTGCAGACAGCCGTGAAGCACAAGGTCAGCTGCAGAACGTGAAGAACATCCAAGCCACTGGAAGCGCGTTTGCTGCGATTCTAGGCGATGGATCTGTCGTGAGCTGGGGCCCAGCTGACTCAGGTGGTGACAGCAGTGCTGCTCAAGGCCAGCTGAAAAATGTGCGGCAAATCCAAGCCTCGAGACGTGCTTTTGCTGCGATTCGGGGGGATGGAACCGTCGTGACCTGGGGTAATGCTTTACATGGTGGGGAAAGCAATACCGTGCAACATCAGCTGAAAGACGTGCAGCAGATCCAGTCCTCTGCTGGTGCTTTTGCCGCGATGCTGGGCAACGGCTCTGTTGTGACCTGGGGCAGTTCTGAATACGGTGGAAACGGTAGTGCTACACAAGAGCTGAAGAATGTGCGACACATCCAGGCCACTGAGCGAGCTTTTGCGGCGATTCTGGGCGATGGATCTGTCGTGTCGTGGGGTCCTTCAGACTTTGGTGGTGACAGCAGTGTCCTGAAAGATCATACGTGTCCCGTAGAGCAGATACAGGCTTCTAAAAGTGCCTTCGCTGCGATCCTGGAAGATGGATCGGTCGTGACTTGGGGCCATGCTGACTATGGTGGCGACAGCCTGCTTGTGCGGGATTTGCTTAAGAATGTGCACCAGATCCAAGCCACGGATAGCGCTTTTGCTGCAATTCTGGGTGATGGATCCGTGGTGGCCTGGGGCAATGCTCAGGAGGGTGGCGACAGCAGCCCCGTTCAGCATCAGCTGAAAGACGTGCAGCAGATCCAGTCCACTTCTGCTGCTTTCGCAGCCGTCTGCGCCAATGGATCCGTCGTCACCTGGGGCTGTCATATGCAGGGTGGCAATAGCAGCGGCGTGCAGTGTCACCTGCAGATCGCGTAGAAAATGTTCCGAATGCAGAGCAAGCTGTTGTTGTCTATTGTTGTAAAGTATTAGCCATCGAGTATACTAGACGAAATATACAATAAAATATAGTATGTATAAATTCCATAGTGTATCTAGATGTTGCACGGTTTTGTAGTATACGATATTGTCGCATATATGGCACACTACACAGTATATCGGTACGTCAGATTGAACTATCTAGCCGTTTTCCGCCTATCTGTTTCACCGTGTTCCAACTTTAGGGTTCAGGTGTACTCCGCAGGCAGTTGCGGAAGTCCTTAATGGAGTGCTAGCGACAGAGACAGAGACTCTCTGTAACACACACACACACACACACACACACATATATATATATATATAGCATTCAGAACGTAGATACAAATGTGATCTCACACATTCAGTTTTTTGGTTTAAGGGTTCTGGTGTTGAGGGTGGAGGGGGTGAGCTACTGCTGCTTGGGCCTTCAAACCCTAGAGGGAGAGGAAGAGAGAGAGGGGGACAGAGAGAGTGACAGAGCGACGAAGAAGAAGCAGACGAAGAAGAAGAGGAGGAGGAGGAGGCGGAGGACAGGGTGAGAGGGAGAGAGAGAGCAGAAGAAGAAGAAGAAGAAGAAGAAGAAGAAGAAGAAGAAGAAGAAGAAGAAGAGGAAGAAGAAGAATAATAAGAAGAATAATAAGAAGAAGAATAAGAAGAATAAGAAGAAGAAGAACAAGAAGAAGAAGAATAGAAAGAAGAAGAAGAACAAGCAGGAACCCTTCACAAAAAGCTAAGGAGACGACCGCGGCTGCAGAGCACATGGACTCGTCTCCAAGGACCTCATAGCCGCCGCAACCTCCTTTCTGCCTTCCTTCTTTGTCCCTTCGGCTGTTTGTCGCTGATTGCTTTGCTTGCTTCCTTTCTTGTCTTCCTTTCTTCCCATTCCTTTTGTTTCTTGTGCTCCTGGCCTGCCTGTTCTCTCCTTGCTTTCCTTCATTCTCAGCGAGACTGCAGTGAGAGTTCTTAATTCTGGGAGGAGACAGCCTGGGAGCCCGTTTGGGACCCTGGAGCTGGGAGAGACGCGCTTTTCGCGTGCATTTGCAGGAGCGGCCAGTGATGGCCTGTTTTTATTTTTGCTTGTTTGTTCCCTTTGTTTGGTTGGTTAAGTTGTCGTGAGGGTACCATACTGGCTACGACTTGCACGAGTTGTATAGTACATTGGTAGGCGCTCAGATGTTTTCTTTGCTGTGTAGCAGGAAACGATGGTGACCAAGCTGAGACAAGTGGCTTGGCATCCAACTTCAATGCAAGCCCCTGTAGTGTCTCAGCTTTTCCGTTTCGCGTATCCTGACTTGAGGTTGTTCCGAGGGGGAGATGGAGCTGGAGGATCCGTCCTGTCTCATGAAAGATTTCGTTTTCATGCTTTCATGCTTCATGCGGCAAGGTCAGCCACATGCGTGTGTAGGATGATGTGGAAGAGGAAGGTGACCATCTTGGCGATGGTGACTATGGAGCCGAGGGTAAGGAACAGAAGGAGCAGGACCACCGCACCCTTGGGCTAGCGCACCTTTCTGGTGCAAGCTTCTGCGAGGCGTGTTTCGGAGGGTTGTGGCCGCACTGTGCAGGAGATCAGACCAGAGGACAAGCCCTTCGTGGTGCCCTGGAGGGCGGTGCTAGAGAGACTTGACGCGCACATGGCAGTTTTCAGGCTGAACTGAATGCAAACAGTTACGTGGCATCGGCTGGACAGTTCGTTATGTCGTGTAGGCTAGGCAGTTCCGCGGGTAGATTTTAAATTAGACGATCCGCTACTTGGGCCTGGTAGGAATTGTATAAACCCAAAGCCATACCCTTCCTCATCTTCTCAAGTCATCAGAGTGGGGGACTGCCATCGCCACGGAGCTTGCACGTCCATGCAAGATATTGCAATCAGCCTAGGAGAACTGCCGCGCAGTTTCCAGAGCGCACAGACTCCCGTGCTTCGGCTGTTCGTTCACGCTGCACACGATCTAAACTTCTAAACAGTTCTGAGCTGCGCCACTTTGCTCACCGCTGAGGTTTAGCATCCTCCCAAGGCCTTTGGTCAGTTCGACACATGTCGGCGTACTGCCGCTCCGCCTTCTACACCATCGAGGTTTTGGGGGAGGCCCAGGGGCCCAGGGGCCCAGGGGGCGAAACCAAAGCTTTGAGCATCTTTGAGTGGATTCAGCCGCAGGTGGAGCCATCGTCGCCTGTATCGTGGTCATCAGGCACAGTGGCTTTAGTATACGGTGTGGAGTCGATTATCTGCGTCATGCTACTCAGACATTTTGCCCAACGATGCCAGGTGCTTGAGCTCTGAGTCACTGAGCATACCCTTGTAGTTCGTAGAGCTGCTCCTCCTTGAGTACCCGGTGGCCGTGGCCCCCCTGGGTTGTTAGCACCTCGTGCAATAGCATGACGTGCAAGTGGCATTGTTAGCCACTTCTTCTTCGAGTACCCGGAGCTGTTGCCTTGTTCCATTGGTCCCTGTGTTGCGCCGAGAAGCGCATGTTAGGCATGCGAGTGTTACAAGCGAGCCTACAGTGCATGAAGTCCGGGAACGACACAGCTCCATGGAGCTGAAGCTCGTCTCTTGTAACCACTAAATTCTCTAAGTGTAGTGCGCCGACTGTTTCACTTCGTTACGGAAAGCTTCCAAGCCATTGTATCCCTTTGGCGGGGATGCATCGCTCATACCTCCCTTGCGAGGGAACCACTGGCATGCGGCTGGCTTGAACTCCGATCCTGGCTATTTCATCCTTACGTTTGCTCTGGACAGAAGTACCATGCTGTGCTATGCTGTGCTATGGCCAGCTGTCCAGTCCCACTAGAATCTGAACACCAGTCCATGGCACAGTAGAAATCCTGCACAGATGAGAAAAGGGTGAAGCCTAATGCCAACCTCTCGCTGCAACAAGGTACTGAGTGTACCGTCACACATTGTCACGTGGTCACGCTGTCCAGTTCCAGTGTGGAGGACCTCACATCCGTTCAGTCTGGCATGGATGGTTGTGAGCGCCTTCTGGCTGCTTGCCGCAATGCAGGCAAAGTTGGCTGAATAGCGAGCTGTTGGTCGTTGTAGCACCAAATCGACTTGCCCGGGAGGCTTCACAATTGCGCACAGCAGGTCTCACCGTTATGGCTCTGTGGTGCGGAGTGACCTAGCTTGAGCCCTCAGTCTCTCAATATTTGCTGTGCAAGAAGCATTCCGAGTCGAGCCTGCGTGGTATCGGACACCGCAGGGTAGCCTTTGAGGTTGGCACCTCCGACGAAGGGTATGAGCTCCACCCGCGCATGCGAGCCCGAGAGGGGGAGATCGTCGTGCGAAGCCCGATGCTTCGCGTGCATGTCACAGAGACCGCAGGACGGCTGTTCTTTCATCACTACGGTTGAGGTTGACAAATGGACATTCGGCGCCTTTGCATCCACGTGAGCCCATGCGAATATTATCGCTTTCAGTGGGGTAGCCCTAGATGAGCCTACAGATCGGATTTCTGGTCCACAGACATGCCTTTTTGGGTGCAAAGTTCGGGACCATTACGCAGGACTTCTGCGGGCTGCGAGTTCAGTGCGAGGTACCTGGAGCGCGAACTCCGGAAAAGGGGCGTGAAGCGCATCTTGTCCACCACTCAGATGCCACGAGTACTACCTTGCCCAACAAGTACTTGGGGAACTAACTGGATATTATGTTCTTCGACCATCGCCACCCAACATGTTTCAGCCATCCTGCCGTTGTCGGACAGGGATACTTCGCCGCATGCTGTTGTCGGAAAGTCCTGAGGAATAGTCTTGGGGAGTGGGCATTTTGGGGATGCTCGGCGGGACTTTTGCGGGATTCTGGGGTGGACAATCCAAGGATACGGCTGGAATTCTGGGCAGCCGGATTCCTGCGCAATTTTTCTGGGGTTGGGCACTTGAGGGAGACTTGGCAGGACTCTCTGCTTGGGTAGGCACTCTAGGTACGTGGGCGGGATGCGGAGAATGGTTGACTTCAAATCTAACAGCCCATGCCGAGGGTCTGGAACCTTACGACATGTAGGGGAAACATGAACCAGCATGAACCATCATGAACCACCATGAAGCATCATGAACCCCTGAGCTCTAAATCCTAAGCCCAAACGAAGCCCGAAAGCTTCTTTCTGCCTGGGCAGCCAGTCTCAGGCTCTGTGGCGTGCTGACCAACGTCTGCATCTTCGCCACCGCCTCGCAGGCATCCCTTCAACCCCTTCAGAGGTTATGGCGGGGGGGGGGGGGAGAATTTGTGCAAATGCGTGCGTTCGGCTCTTCTCTCACATAGTATCTCTACACTGTGTTTTTCCAAGTACTATGTATCATTCATTTTATGTCATATATTTTATGTTATAACGAATTTATGTATATTATATTCTGTCATGCTGTATTATGTATGTTTTTGGTGCCAAATATTTTGCAGTGACATCTTCAGACAATCCATTCTGAGCGGTTGTTGCCGTGTTCTCGCAAGTTTGGTTCAGCCAATGAGCTGCTCAGCCAATTAGCTGAGTAGCCGATAAGCCAATTAGCTGATGAGCCAACAGGCCAACTAGCGGATCGGCCGATAAGACAATAGGTTATGAGCCAGTGAGCCAGTAAGAGCCAATACTTGTAAGCCATGAGCTTATCGGCTTGTACCGGCTTGAAGCGGCTTATAGCGGCTTATAGCGGCTTATAGCGGCTTATCATGGGCTCCGGCCATCGAAGCACGCACACGGATCGTGCTTCAGGCGCATGTAACGGGTGTGTGTGTGTGTGTGTGTGTGTGTGTTGTGTGTGTGGGCGCGCGCGTGCGCGTGTGTGTGCGTGCGTGCGTGCGTGCGTGCGTGCGTGCGTGCGTGCGTGGGTGCGTGGGTGCGTGGGTGCGTGGGTGCGTGGGTGCGTGGGTGCGTGGGTGCGTGGGTGGGTGGGTGGGTGTGTGTGTGTGTGTGTGTGTGTATGTGTGTGTCTGTGCAAAGTTACAACACAGTCAACCGAAAGCTTCAGCAGGCTGTGGATCGCTTCATACCCGTTTGCTTGGTTGAGGACGCCTGTCAGCCGCTGAGACATTGACAGCAGCACGTGCGCAGCGCTTTCTCGCTTGTTGCGGCCAGTTGCGTAGAGCTGAAGTGAAGAGACGTTCTTTTGGCATGTTTGTCTTGTCATAGTTAACATTAGTAGTCCCAATAGAAGTTGTCGTCGAAGCGCCATCCCTCTTTCAACGTCTCAGGTGCTGCTTTCCAGACGGACTGGCACCAGAGTGCTCTGACCCTCATCAACGAGACCGGTCCTCGGGAAAGATCCGGGGCGCATGCTATGATGGCAGGCCACCTTCGTTACTACTACGACGACAACAAGTCTTATTATTACCACTTCTTCTTCTTCTTGTAGTAGTCGTAGTAGTCGTGGTGGTGGTAGTGGCAGTGGTGGTAGTGGTGTTGGTAGTAGTCGTAGCAGCCGTGGTCGTGGTAGTGGTGGTGGTAGTGGTAGTGGTAGTGGTAGTGGTAGTGGTCATGGTAGTGGTAGTAGTCGTCGTCGTAGTAGTAGTACTAGCACTAGCACTAGCACTAGCAACAGCACCAGCACCAGCACTAGCACTAGCACTAGCACTAGCACTAGTACTAGTACTAGTGCTAGTGCTAGGACTAGTACTAGTACTAGTACTAGTACTAGTGCTAGTAGTAGTGGTGGTAGTAGTAGTAGTAGTAGTCGAGTCGTAGTAGTAGTAGTCGTCGTAGTAGTCGTCGTAGTAGTAGTAGTAGTAGCAGTAACAGCAGTAGCAGTAGCAGTAGCAGTAGCAGTAGCAGTAGCAGAAGTCGTAGTAGTAGTAGTAGTAGTAGTAGTAGTAGTAGTAGTAGTAGTAGTAGTAGTAGTAGTAGTAGTAGTAGTACGTAGTAGTAGTAGTAGTAGTAGTAGTAGTAGTAGTAGTAGTAGTAGTCGTAGTCGTCGTCGTCGTCGTCGTCGTCGTCGTCGTGGTCGTGGTCGTGGTCGTGGTCGTGGTCGTGGTCGTGGTCGTCGTCGTGGGCGTGGGCGTAGGCGTAGTCGTAGTCGTAGTCGTCGTCGTCGTCGTCGTAGTAGTAGTAGTAGTAGTAGTAGGAGTAGTAGTAGTAGTAGTAGCAGCAGCAGCAGTAGTAGTAGTAGTAGTAGTAGTAGTAGTAGTAGTAGTAGTAGTAGTAGTAGTAGTAGTAGTAGTAGTAGTAGTAGTGGTGGTGGCAGTAGTAGTAGTAGTAGTAGTAGTAGTAGTAGTAGTAGTAGTAGTAGTAGTAGTAGTAGTAGTTGTTGTTGTTGTTGTAGTAGTTGTAGTAGTTGTAGCAGCTGTAGTTGTAGTAGTAGTAGTAGTCGTCGTCGTCGTCGTGGTGGTCGTCGTCGTCGTAGTAGTAGTAGTAGTAGAGCTGCTGCTGCTGCTGCTGTGACGGTTGTTATTCTGAATGTGCATGATGGTACAGAATTCGATACTAACACTCATGCCCAAATGGATTGCATCCTCATCAACGATAGATGGAAAATTCCTATCTCCAATATTGCACTTGTTCATGAAACCATCTTGGATTCAGATCATGCGCTGTTAATTCCCGATGTACATGTGAAACTAGCGCACAAAAAACGGGTTAGCAGGAGCACTTGCTCACACAAATATTGAACCCCCACACAGAGTCAAAAACATGATTGCAACCTTTTCGTCGAGCAGACAATTGAGGATCAGCGACAACTCGGCAAATGGACATGCGCAAAAGCAGTTGAAGCCCTTGCTGACGTAATCTGCGAAGCAGCGGAATATGTTTTGCACCTATCCTTTTGAATCGAGGACAAACACGAAACGATTCAAGAAGATGACTTCATCAGAGCCTGACGGCAACCAAAGAAATCCGTTTAAAAACAAGGAATGACAAAGCACAGGCGCTTCTACCAGAACTTGAAGAAATATCGCAGGATGGCTACAAACGGGATGGTCTAAAGAAAGTGACAAAGACTTTTCAACCCAAGCGGTACAAATTCAAGGCAAGCACGGTGAAATAAGCAAAGAAAAAGATTCTCCATCTACTGCAGTGGAGTCTTTTGTCGAGCTGCAGTGGGCCAAACCGATAGAGAATCACCTTGATCCAGCTTTCGATGCAGCCCTCTTAGACTCTTATTTAAGGAACAAACAATATGAATGATAATCTCTTAACAACGAAAACTCCAGGACCGGATGGATGTAGAGCAGACCTAGTGGAATGGCTTTCAGTTCCAAACCGAAACTCGTTGATCTCATTGTACAACGACATGACAAACGAACAGCAGTACCCGGAGACGTTTCAAGGCGCCAGCTTAATCGCTATTTACAGAAAGGAGCTCCCAAGTGCAAAGCAACAGACCAATTGCCCAAGTGGTTTGCACATGATTAGCAGGCATGATCAGAGCTAGGCACGTGCTTGCATATGTTTCATGGATGCAAAACACGCAGTGTGGCTTTCGTCCCAAGAAATCAACAACGCAAGCTATCTTCATCGCAAGAAGATTATTAGACCTTGCCGAACTTGTCCTTTCTACTGGGATTGGGAAAAAGCTTTCGACAAAGTCTACCAGATTAAACACTTACAAGTTCTTCGCAGGTTAAAAGTTTCCCCAAAGATGTTTCAGTTGATCGCAAATTTGTAAACATCCACAGTTCAGAATCAGAACACTCGGCGCTTGGAATACGAATCACAAGATTCTGGATCCGACAAGGCTGGCCCCTGTCACCATTTCTATGTACGCTATTAACATCTGCGATGTTTACAGACATTCGATCCAAATTACACACTCCGAAGCAATAAGAATCAATTCCTGGAATAGGATGAGTTAAAGCTTTGTTCGCAGACGGCACGCTAAGTTTTGGACCCGCACGTGTACAATAAGCCAGCTCCTGCACGCTATCCAAGATGATTCTAAATACTACAACCTGACACTGAACTACGACACATGTACCAACCTGACTCTGAAGCGTTGAATATCTGGATGGGACATTTGTCCCACGTAAGCATGAGGCCGCGCATTGAGGATCCCGACTGTCAGACACAGAGGATAGTCACCGAGAGGTTTGTAATGGGATTGCAGATGTGAAATAAGCTTAGACCCTGTTTGGAACGAAGCTCAGAACACCGTAAAATGGAAGCTCGAGGTGATCGACCCAATTCTGAAAAGCAAGGTCCTGTACGGACTTGAATGCATAAAACTTACACACTTGACCCAGGTAAAATTGCCGCCTTTCAAATAGAAGGCCTTTGTCTGTCGTGAAAGCTTCCCCGCCACATTTATCGATCGCAAGTGCCCGAATCAGAAAGTCGGGACATCCTACAGAATGATCACCATCACTACATTCAGAATTTGTCTCTAACATGGATGAGAAGGAAAGGCAAAGGATTCTGACACATACTGAGGACTGAATATCAAGACCCCATGAGACACTTCATGTTCGATCCTTGTACAAGTAGACCAGACTTGAATACAGACGTCCAAGCAAACCAAGAGCATCATGGCTTCTGGAGTCATTCAAGGATGCATTTACAGTACCCTTTTTAAAGAGCATTGCCAACTCGTCCTGCAACATGTTCAGCCAAGACGGGGAATACTTGCCACAAAACAATGATCGTCACCGAATGTGCCTGGTGCGTTCACATCCCACTCCCCGGCAAGCCCGTGGCTTAACATCAACCGACGTAAGGCACCCAATTATTCATCACCGAATGTTCGTTACCGGACAACGCGGCGCAGCACCGCGACCACGAGGCAAGCATATACCCGTATGATAGGTGCAAAGATACCTGGCATGCTGTACGCATTTCCGGTTCTGCCCTCCCATGATATTCTCTCTCACTTCACAGGCGAGATCAAGTTTTGTCTCACCTTCCGCAACCTTCAGATCCCTGATTCTCTCTACTTTCTGTTTCATTCCCCCTGGCTAGGTTTCTGTGCTCAGACAACGAGTCTGCACGTAGGACAAAATGCTCGGAATGTCAATGGCGTTCTGCTGTTCTGTGATTGCTGCTGTTTTAAGAATCATCTCAGGCCACAGACGATGCCCGGGCACAAGCGAGGCGTTGGTCTCTACTTCGGCGAGGTCACACAGGCACGAACGAAGGACGAACAAAGAATCCAAAGACTAGGGGCACAGGAAGACTTTCCTTTTCCCCTGCCCGCCAGTGCCAGAGATGCGAGTCCCTAAGACGTGCTTCGCCTGCTCCCCAATTCTCCCTGTCAGGTCGACAAAGTGGAGGCAGCTTTGAAGGACTTGAAGTAGCCGTGGTAGTGGCCGTGGTGTGCAGAATCCATCCTAATTAACCATTCTGCGATATTCTGCACGCCGTTTGTTTCATGTGTTTCTCTTGCAACTTCAGCCGGATGTGGTCACCCATATGGGATGGGAGGTGACCTGCGTCACCCCCAATCCTCTAAGGGGCCCAGGCGATTTGACTCGACAGCAGGCTGAGAAGCTTTTTCCTTCAGCAGATTTCTCTTGACGGCACTGCAGAGTCTGCGCTGGTTTCGGTTCACATATTGCTAGAATCATCCTATATGGTTGCTTGCACTGCAGTTGCACCTATCACTTCGCGTAGGCCAGTACGGAAAAAAGAGGCTGCAGACACTTGCATCATGGCTGTTGTGCAGCGGGTCATGTTGAGACAGCTTGCACTTCTTTGCGGGCCTGGCCCTTCCCTTCACAGGAGGCGGACATGACTGGACCATTGCGAAGTGTCTCTTCTCCTTTGTCTCCCAGCTTGACCTGCTCTGTGCTTTCTAATTATGGCCTTCGCCTGGTACCCAGCGAACTTGAGAAGTCACAGATGTGCTCACATTGAACCTAAGGCCGGGCTCCAAAGCCCGTCGAAAAAGCTATCGAAAGCCATCCGAGCTCTGAGTTCTTCTGAGTTCCTCGCAGCCCTCGATTGGGGGCAAAAAAGATTTGTGCAGCAAAGGTCTGCCGCGTGTAGTCTGTACGCATTGATTGATGTCCTTGCAGTTTGAAAAGGAAGCGCACACACATACACACACACACACACATGGGGCTTTCGCAACAAACTTGGTTCAATCAGTTGTTGTTTTTGTTCTCATGCTTTTCATCGTGCTCGCACAGTTGGTTTCCAAACTGCGCTGCAGCTAATCAGCCGATCAGCCAATCAGCCAATCAGCCACTGAGAAGGGGCCAAGGAAGGCACAGAAGCAAGGAATCACTGTAGTTCAGAAGTCAAAACTATTGGCATGCAAAAGTGGGGTTTGGGGTCAGTTGAAGGGGGCGAAAGAAGGCCAGAAGTGATACTTTGTTTCCAGGCGGTCAAGTATCGCTCTCGGCATGAAAATTTGGGGTTTGGGGTCAGTTGAAGGGGCGTAGGAAAGCCCAGAAGCAAAAAAAGCACCATTGAGACTTTGATTCCGGGCGGTCGCCGATCAGCCCATCAGCTGATTCAGCTGATTCGCTGATCGGCTGATTGGCTGGTTGGCTTCCGTACGGTTGGCGGCCAAAATGTCAGGCACCCTGTGATTTCTTTAGTTAGTATAAATGGTGTGAGCGATAAAACAGGCCAACGAGAATGATGGATTCAAGTTGAAACAGACTCCAGTGAGAAGGTGCTTCTAAAGGCTTAAGACTTTGTCTGACATGGTCTAGAATAGCAGCGTATCTCCCAAGAGTCAGCCATAAACAAACAAGATACAGAACTGTTAGCGTCGAGCGTTCGTGTGCTGACGGAATCATCGTAAATCGAAAGGCTTGATGCCTTGATTCGGCGAAGAGAGAAGCAACTGCGTGTTCCTTTGCAGTACGAGTGTCCTTTCCTTTAGCTTCGGGAGCAGGTCGTCCAATGCATCCCGTGAGCATCATATTTCCTCTGGATTTTGAGTGAAAGTTCCCGTTTTTTCGCGTGTAAGATTCTGTACAAATTTCATTCGGAGATCGTGGCTAGCATTTGGAAGGTTTTCATGCCTGTCCCACCGCTCAGCATAGTTGAAGGGTGGGGCAGGCCGCGCATTCGAAAGTGCCCTGCTCTTGTGAACATAGCGTGTTGCATGTCACAGGCTGGCAGGCACTATACAGTAGGCGAACGGAGCAGGACCAATGACAGTGTCCTTTCGTGCAACAAGTCATCGCATTTTGCACTTGAGTTGTGCAGAAGGTCATGTTAGAATCTGCAACTTCACAGGAGCCATTTCCAGTCATCAGGTGCCCTCTATTCATTCCGCTGCGGCAGGAAACTGGCGATCATGACAGCGAGGCGTATCTGTAGAGAACACATTGACATGTGTTCGTATAGCTCCGCCAACGGGTTTCATATCACAGCTGGCCCCGACGACGACGACGACCTGTACCTGTGGCACGCAACCATGTATGGACCAGTCTCCACGCCCTACCAGGGTGGCATCTTCTGGCTTCGTATCACCTTTCCATCCTCCTATCCATTCAAACCACCGAAGGTTATGTTTACAACGAAGATCTACCACTGCAACATCGACGCGAATGGCTCGATTTGCTTGGATATCCTTGGTGATGAATGGTCTCCGGCTCAGAGCATCAAAAGCGTCTTGCTGTCCATCCAGACTCTCTTAGAGGACCCCAATCCAGATGACGCGCTGGTGCCCGAGATCGAAAGTGTTTTCCGCAACGATCGGCAGCAATATTACGAGACCGCAAGGGAATGGACTAAGAAGTGGGCAATGGGCTGATTGTATGCCACCTGATTGCAGCATCTTTGAACTAGGTCCTTGGAGTCTTTTCACTCAATGGTGACTAAACATAGCTCTCGCTCCGGTCAAACAAGCAAGCACAAAGTTCACAAAAAGCCCGCACCAGGAGCTCTGTGTGCCAACAAGAGAACACTGTTGCCCATCACATTCTAACCCAATGCGACAGATGGATGGAGCTACTCAAACATCTTGAAAGCATGCAAGGCCATTTGTTTTTTTTTGCACAGCTGGTCTCAATGCGCGTGGCTCCCGCAAAAGTGCCATACTGCTCGGCTTGCAACCTCACAGCAGCCATTCCAGCACTCGTTTCAAGTCACGATGATGGTGCGTTTGTCAAGACATGGCTCCGTCAATGGGTTGGGACTTGCTGAATCCTTGCGGTTCGTGAATTTGAAGTTGTCTAGTCCATGGTGCCTGTAACATACCTGCTGCCCTTTTGCCGCAATGGGTTCCGCAAATGACATTTGGATGCTCTTGCGGAACTACTGGCCAGTTTTGCTTGGCAATACCTTAGAATGGTACGAGTTCGCCGTGTATGGCAACTCGGCTCGCAAGCTCTGCAAGCAGTGATGCAAGAGCTCAGTTTCCGAAAATGGGGTAGTCTAGATCGGGCACGCAGCTCCTTAACCTAAGGACACCCAAGTTGCGATATGTCGTATCAGAAGCCGTGGCTAAGTTGAAGCCATGTGCTGTCATGATTTTCAGGTTACATGGAAAGCTACATGGAAAAGAACTTCTTCCGTGGGTCGGCCTTGGCGACGTGGTTGGGGTTTACGCAGCTCGGAGCTCGCTTTTTTGCAAGTGCCCGTAGGAGTTATACTTGTAGGCTGCAAGTTTCCGAGGGACACTGAGAGTCGTGCTATTCTATCTAGGGCAGAGGCTGCATAGGCAGTTTCTGTGAAAGCAAGACGTGTCACTTTTGGCAGGGCCACCTTTGCTGCGCGACCCTTGGGCGGAATGTTTCTGGGGATTTTGAGCGACACGTTTGGTCGGAAGGTGGCCGTGATTGTCTCCGTGATTGGCATGCTAGCAGCGACGGTTGGGCAAGGATTGCTCCCAACGCCCAGGCTTTGGGGGGACACCAGTGTCATGGCTGACCTTGGTGTGGGTCTTCTATTCAGTCTTCGCTTGGTACAAGGGCTCTGTACAGGTGGTGAAATAGGAGCCGTGACAACGTACATTACGGAAGTTTCAGCTCACCGCTCCATGGGGCGCTGCATCGCATTCATCTCGATAACGGCAAATGCGGGCTTCATGCTGGCAAGGCTCGTTGTTTGGGCTTTCCAGTCTCATTGTGGGGAGGCGAACATGTTGGATTGGGGATGGCGTTGGCCATTCATCTTGGCCAGCGTCCCAGGCCTAGTCAGCGTCTGGGGGCGATTGTTTTGTCTGAAGGAATCTGAACTCTTCGAGGAAGAGCATGCTCACTCTCAGCTCGTGGATAGTGGGAGTGACAGTGAGACAGCTGGTCAGGTTGGTCGGTCCAAAGAGCGTAAGTCCACGAGGCGACAGTTGATGGAGTTTGCGTGCACCCACTTTTTCGCAGTGATGATCAGCATGGGGGGTGTCATCTCCTATGCAGTCTTCCAGTATGGTGGTCTGGTGTGGGTGAATTCCTATTTAAAGAAACATGGGGCGCCACCCAACAGCTTGATGCTGGCGGGGACTTGCTCAAGACTATTCCAAATGGCGTTGGCGCTTCCGGTTGGTTGGCTTGCGGACATTTACGGCACTGCCTTGCTGACGTTTGCTGGTGCTTTGACTCAGACTCTTGCTGGCTTGCCACTCTTCATGGCCTTAGCGGCTGATCCGCAGAGTGTTGCAAACCTCTTCACAACGTATACATTCGGCTATAGTTGCTGGGGACGCACTCTTTTCGACTCTTTTCCCTACTATGACTGTTGCTCTTTTTGTTGAGCCCCGACTTCGTGCTTGACTTCTTAATTCTTAATTGCCTGTTCCACCCAAGCTCACAGCGTGCCAGGTTTGGTGGCGAGCCTGCAATTCACAGTCTTCCTGTACTGCTCTGAGCTTTTCCCCACGGCGGTCCGGAATTTGGGAGTGGGAGTGAGCTACAACATCGGCTTTGGCATCTTTGGAGGCTTCGCGCCGCTAATCGCTGAAGCATCTGTAGAGTGGATACCATATGGACCAGGAGTGATGCTCTCCGTGGCAGGCCTGATCACTTGTGTGACGATCCTGGCGAGTGTGAGTTGCCAACGTACCGGACGGGTTCAACTTGCACACATCCGGCCTCGGCCATACATGGGCACCTGGGCTGATGGAGATGGAGACATGGCTTCCGAGTAGTTCGGGCATGGAGCAAGAACAATTATCGGTTAAATGGCTTGGTTGGAATTGCCTGGTGGCAGGGCCATCTTTTTGAAGCGGAAGGCCTGGCAAGTCCTGGCAAGTCGCGCCATTTCCCGACACAGCAGAGCTGTTTAATCGGGATTCGGGCTTCAGTTTCTAGCGGCAACTGATCGCTTCTAACGATAAGGTTGCATCGCGTGGAGAAGAAAGACGACGTGCAGATTTTCTGTCGCATAGGAGAATCGGTCGGATTTGTCACGGCGCCGCAAGGAGTTGAAGCTAGTCACTAGTCTATGTGGCAAGCGCCGTTTCGTAAGTTATCGTAAGTTAAGTACTTCTTGGACCGATCGGGACCATGCCGGCATCATTGGCTGCAGGCCGCCGCGGCGTCCATTCATGGCTCCATGCGGTAGCGCTGTTAAGCCAATGGATGCCAAGGCAGCATGCCTCACGTAGCAGGTGCTACAATATCACGTTTCGAGCCCTAAGGATTTCCGCGCCATTCAAATTCAAAGACTCAACAGTACAAACGCTAGAAATCTTCAGAACTCGCACTCAATCATGTCAGGTTGCAAAGCGTCGCTAAGAAGTTCCGGTTTCCATGAACTTGCTTGGAGAGCCGCCACCGCACTCCACGCGCCAGGACGCAGTTTGAAGCGATCACCATGAATCAAACGACTTTTATAGGATAAAAAGAAGGATCTTTAGACACTTGTGACCATTGAGAAGGAAGCGGCTCCGAGCGTCCGCTATGTCCCAGCACCCGCGTCAAAGGAGACTGTGGTGCTCTCCTTAAAGCCGTGGCGTCCTGAAATAGAACACACACACACACACACACCCAGGCACGCACGCACGCAGGCACGCAGGCACGCAGGCACGCAGGCACGCAGGCACACGCAGGCACACGCAGGCACACGCAGGCACACGCAGGCACACGCAGGCACACGCAGGCACACGCAGGCACACGCAGGCACACGCAGGCACACGCACGCACACGCACGCACACACACGCACACACACGCACACACATGCACACACACGCCCACACACACGCACACACACACACACGCACACACACTCACACAACACACACACACACACGACACACACGCACACACACACACACACACCACTCACCCACCCACCCACACACACCACACACACACACACACACACACACACCACACCCCCACACGCACACAAGCCACACAATGCACACACGCACACACGCACAACGTCCACCACACGCACGCACCTCACACACACACACACACACACACACACCCACACACACACAACACCCACACACCGCCGCACACACACACACACACACACACACCCCGCCACCACACACGCGCACACACACACACACACACACACACCACACCACCGCACAGACGCCCACGACACACGCACACCCACACACACACACACACACACACACACACACACACACCACACACACACACACGCCACACTCACCGCACACGCCCACACGCCACACACACGCACGCACACGCACACTCACACGCACACACACTCACACCACCACAACTTCACACCCCACTCACCGAAACACGCACAGCACAGCGCACGACGACACGCACACGCTCCCGCTCACGCAGCACGCGCACGCGCTACGCTCACGACCGCACTGACCGAACCTCGCACGCTCACTGACGCACTCGCACGCGCACGCTCATGCTTCGCACTGCGCACGCGCACTCGCACGCGACACGCACAAGCCGCAGCCTGCTCACCGCACGCTCAAGGCCAATGCCACTTTAGCTGCACGCACACTGCTCACGCGCCACTCTAACCAAGCTCGAGACACCTCGCAACGAGCTGCCACACTCAAGACGCACTCGCACGCGCTACACGCTACCGCGCAAGCGCACGCTCAACATATATCACTCACCTCGCAACGCTCACTCTCACGCGCACGACGTACGCGCCACACTACGAGCTCACGCGCACGCGAACACCTCGCGCCGCGACCACGCGGTCACGCGCCTGGCGCCCGCTCCGCCGCCAGCGGCCCAGACCGCCCGTGCGCCCGGGCCATCCCGAGCTCCGCGTCTCGGCGGGTTGGCGCCGCCCCAGCTCCAGCCCGCCGCCCCGCGCCCCCCCCGCGCTGTTTGCCCCCGCCCCCCCTCAGGACCACCCTCCACCCGCTCCCCTCCCCTCCCCCCCCCCCGCCCCCGCCCCCGCCCCCCCCCCACCTCCCCCCCACCGCCCCCCATCCCCCGCCCTCCCGCCCCCCCCCCCACCCCGCCCCGCCCCCCCGCACCTGCCAGCGCAGGCACGCAGCAGCACGCACGCAGGCACGCACGCACGCAGGCACGCAGGCACGCAGGCACGCAGGCACGCAGGCACGCAGGCACGCAGGCACGCAGGCACGCAGGCACGCAGGCACGCAGGCACGCAGGCACGCAGGAACGCAGGCACGCAGGCACGCAGGCACGCAGGCACGCAGGCACGCAGGCACGCAGGCACGCAGGCACGCAGGCAGGCAGCAGGCAGCACGCAGGCAGGCGCAGCAGGCACGCAGCAGCACGCAGGCACAGGCAGGCACGCAGGCACGCAGGCACGCAGGCAGGCAGCAGGCAGGCACGCAGGCACGCAGGCAGGCACGCAGGCACGCAGGCACGCAGGCACGCAGGCACGCAGGCACGCAGGCAGCAGGCACGCAGGCAGCAGGCACGCAGGCAGGCACGCAGGCAGCCAGCAGGCACGCAGGCACGCAGGCAGGCAGCAGGCACAGGCAGCAGGCAGGCAGGCACGCAGGCACGCACGCAGGCACAGCAGGCACGCAGGCACGCAGCACGCAGGCAGGCACGCAGGCACGCAGGCACGCAGGCACGCAGGCAGGCAGCAGCAGCACGCAGGCACGCAGGCACGCAGGCACGCAGGCACGCAGGCACGCAGGCACGCAGGCACGCAGGCACGCAGGCACGCAGGCACGCAGGCACGCAGGCACGCAGGCACGCAGGCACGCAGGCACGCAGGCACGCAGGCACGCACGCACGCACGCAGGCACGCAGGCACGCAGGCACGCACGCACGCAGGCACGCAGGCACGCACGCACGCACGCAGGCACGCACGCACGCAGGCACGCACGCACGCACGCACGCACGCCCCTGCAGTGTTCATCTGCCTCATCCGCCACTCGAGCGGCCTTAGTTCAGCAACGTAAAACAATGGTGTGTCGAGGCGCAGGGTCGTTCTGGTGGCCGGCAAGCAGAGGACGTCCACAATTCCTGTGGGAAGTCGGAACTGTGCTCTTTCCGAGAGAACAGACCAGATTCCGTGGGTCTTCTCTTGAGGAGATGCGGCCCTGCAACTTGCGAGCTTGCAACTGAGAGGGACGCTTAAGGGTCGCCACGGAGCGCGGTGAAGGTCCAGTCCCCAAAAGCCTCCCAGGTTGGGGCAGTTCCAAACGCCGCCGGATCTGCTTACCTGGAGCAGGCCTAGATGGGCCATCACGGGCCATCATGGCCATCATGGCTCCCATCATGCCCTCCTGTGCGCCAGGGCCACACGAAGATCATCGCGTCTGTGTATGGTGCCCCGCTCATTTGTTCCACAACCTCTGCCTCGATGCTTCAGAGCAGCCACCAGTAGAGGGCGAGTGCGGAGTCAAACACGATTGTCATTTCACTTGAGGCCCGCGCCAGGCAGAACGAGACCGGCAGCAGGTTGGTCTCAGGAGGGTCTTGGGATACTTTGGATTTTCCATTGGTGGGTTTGAGAGGTTCAGATTTCGAGTTATATTTAACAGAGGGTTTTTAGGGCCATCCTAAAACATGGCCACTGCGTGTACTCGATACTTCTCCAAGTACGTCAGGCCAGAGCTGAAGGCCTGCTTGCCGTGGAGGTCCAGTTCGCACCCTTCTGCCCGGCACTGTGAAATTTGCCATCTCGCGACCTTCAAATGGCTGTGCGTGGCTTTGCACTTTCTTTCTCTTCACAGGCTCCAGGGAGTTCAACCGGGAGGTGCCCTTCTGTGTGGTTTCTCTCGTTCTTTTGTGTTCGTTGCAGTCGCTCTTGCTCTCTCACCGCTTCCCCGTCCTCTTCCGCTTCACTCCGCCGCGGCACATCGCCACTGCACTCGGAGGAGAACGAGAAGCGTGCCGTTCTCTACAACTCAATCCTGCAGGGCGCACTGGAGCCAGCGTCCTGGTGGCCTCTGATGTTGTGATCACTACTTTGTGACACATGGCTTTTGGGACAGTGTGAAGCAAGGTCGGTAATCTTACTGGAAAGATATGCAAAGACAGCCTTCGACATCACTCTCCTTGTCCTGGAGGCCCAAGAGAAGAAGAGACGACATGAGAAAACTGAGTGCGACGCGCCATTCAGGGACGGCATTGCTTTTGCAAATGAGGACGACGGGGCTGTTCTCACTGCGTGCCTCGCAGCGGCCGCGATGGTAGGGTACCCACCAGTTTGCTGGCAGTGCTTCATTCTTGTCGTTACAGAGCATTCCTGCTGATTCTGTTGTAGATTTTTTGAAGAGTTTTCTTAACCGTTTAACCGTTCCGGAGTCGACGACGAGCTGGCAGTCATCCAGTTCTCAGAACTGCTTTTGCACCAGCTCTAGTACAGAATGACCGGCGCTCTACACAACGTTCGCGCGAAGCATCAGCATTGACAAGCATTCGTTAGGCGCACAGATTCACAGCCCTGGATGTGGGACCTTCTGCGTTCAAGAGCTTCATTGCGAACACAGCACGCTGTGTCGGATAGTGATGCTTGTCACCTCTCACATTCGGTGACAGTGAAGGTCATAGTAGCACAGTCAGTGGAGTACTGGGCTCGAGGCTCTGGCAGACGCCAGAGTGGAGATGCGGGATTTGGTTGCAGGCGCCAGCTGCTCAGCTGAAGCCGCATCTCGTGTGATTGCGACGCTTCCTGAGGCGCCACGATCCACTTGCTTCCCGAGTCAGGCGGGGGATGGGACACGCCCTGCGGAATGGACATCAGTATGATATCAATGTGTCACATTGATATCAAACAAACGGTTCGGTTCGGTTCGGTTACGGTTTCTGTTTCTGCGGTTCGGTTCGGCGGTTCCGGTTTGAGCGACGGTTCCGGACGGTTCGGTTCGCGGTTCGCACGGTTCCACAAAAAACCTCACACCCTGAGCCACCCTAAAACCCCAAGCCCAAAGTCCCCTCAGGAGAGAAGAGAAGAGTAGCGTAAAGCACTTCGCGAAAAACACTTGGACACGCTCAGGCGGTCTTGAACGCCTGACGCCCGCCGACCTCTCAAATACGTACCTTTTTTGGGTCTTTTTGGCCGTAAAGGGCACGTATTTCGGAGGTCGGGCCGTTCCCGGACCGGACCGACCTCCCAAATGCGTACCTTTTTTGGGTCTTTTTGGGCCTGAAAACGCCGTAAAAGGCACGTGTTTCGGAGGTCGGGCCGTTCCCGGACCGGACCGACCTCCCAAATACGTACCTTTTGTTGGGTCTTTTTGGGCCTGAAAACGCCGTAAAAGGCACGTATTTCGGAGGTCGGGCCGTTCCCGACCGGACCGACCTCCCAAATACGTACCTTTTTTGGGTCTTTTTGGGCTTGAAAATGCCGTAAAAGGCACGTATTTCGGAGGTCGGGCCGTTCCCGGACCGGACCGACCTCCCAAATACGTACCTTTTTTGGGTCTTTTTGGGCCTGAAAACGCCGTAAAAGGCACGTATTTCGGAGGTCGGGCCGTTCCCGGACCGGACCGACCTCCCAAATACGTACCTTTTGTTGGGTCTTTTTGGGCCTGAAAACGCCGCAAAAGGCACGTATTTCGGAGGTCGGGCCGTTCCCGGACCGGACCGACCTCCCAAATACGTACCTTTTTGGGTCTTTTTGGGCCTGAAAACGCCGTAAAAGGCACGTATTTCGGAGGTCGGGCCGTTCCCGGACCGGACCGACCTCCCAAATACGTACCTTTTTTGGGTCTTTTTGGGGCTGAAAACGCCGTAAAAGGCACGTATTTCGGAGGTCGGGCCGTTCCCGGACCGGACCGACCTCCCAAATACGTACATTTTTTGGGTCTTTTTGGGCCTGAAAACGCCGTAAAAGGCACGTATTTCGGAGGTCGGGCCGTTCCCGGACCGGACCGACCTCCCAAATACGTACCTTTTTTGGGTCTTTTTGGACCTGAAAACGCCGTAAAAGGCACGTATTTCGGAGGTCGGGCCGTTCCCGGACCGGACCGACCTCCCAAATACGTACCTTTTTTAGGTCTTTTTGGGCCTGAAAACGCCGTAAAAGGCACGTATTTCGGAGGTCGGGCCGTTCCCGGACCGGACCGACCTCCCAAATACGTACCTTTTTTGGGTCTTTTTGGGCCTGAAAACGCCGTAAAAGGCACGTATTTCGGAGGTCGGGCCGTTCCCGGACCGGACCGACCTCCCAAATACGTACCTTTTTTGGGTCTTTTTGGGCCTGAAAACGCCGTAAAAGGCACGTATTTCGGAGGTCGGGCCGTTCCCGGACCGGACCGACCTCCCAAATACGTACCTTTTTTGGGTCTTTTTGGGCCTGAAAACGCCGTAAAAGGCACGTATTTCGGAGGTCGGGCCGTTCCCGGACCGGACCGACCTCCCAAATACGTACCTTTTTTGGGTCTTTTTGGGCCTGAAAACGCCGTAAAAGGCACGCATTTCGGAGGTCGGGCCGTTCCCGGACCGGACCGACCTCCCAAATACGTACCTTTTTTGGGTCTTTTTGGGCCTGACAACGCCGTAAAAGGCACGTATTTCGGCCGTTCCCGGACCGGACCGACCTCCCAAATACGTACCTTTTTTGGGTCTTTTTGGGCCTGAAAACGCCGTAAAAGGCACGTATTTCGAAGGTCGGGCCGTTCCCGGAACCTTTTTTGGGTCTTTTGGGCCTGAAAACGCCGTAAAAGGCACGTATTTCGGAGGTCGGGCCGTTCCCGGACCGGACCGACCTCCCAAATACGTACCTTTTTTGGGTCTTTTTGGGCCTGAAAACGCCGTAAAAGGCACGTATTTCGGAGGTCGGGCCGTTCCCGGACCGGACCGACCTCCCAAATACGTACCTTTTTTGGGTCTTTTTGGGGCTGAAAACGCCGTAAAAGGCACGTATTTCGGAGGTCGGGCCGTTCCCGGACCGGACCGACCTCCCAAATACGTACATTTTTTGGGTCTTTTTGGGCCTGAAAACGCCGTAAAAGGCACGTATTTCGGAGGTCGGGCCGTTCCCGGACCGGACCGACCTCCCAAATACGTACCTTTTTTGGGTCTTTTTGGACCTGAAAACGCCGTAAAAGGCACGTATTTCGGAGGTCGGGCCGTTCCCGGACCGGACCGACCTCCCAAATACGTACCTTTTTTAGGTCTTTTTGGGCCTGAAAACGCCGTAAAAGGCACGTATTTCGGAGGTCGGGCCGTTCCCGGACCGGACCGACCTCCCAAATACGTACCTTTTTTGGGTCTTTTTGGGCCTGAAAACGCCGTAAAAGGCACGTATTTCGGAGGTCGGGCCGTTCCCGGACCGGACCCCCCCAGGTTCAAGTGACCCCAAAAAGGGTCGGGGGTGGGGCGGCTCGAGAAAATGGGACGCAAAACAAAGAAGGGAACCTTCCCCTTCTTCATGAGGCCACTCACGAAATGCATACCCTTCAGGGCCTAGGAATGTTTGGTCCTGGGCTCAAATCCTTTCAGCCCAACCCTGATTGGGGAATAGGAACCTTTTACCGTTCGGTTTCTATTTCGGTTCGGTTCGACGGTTCCGGTTTCACTATTCGGTTCGCAGGTTCCGGTTCTGACGGTTCCGGTTCCACGGTTCGCGGTTCGGTTCCTTCGCTTCCTGAGCCAGCAGTCATCTTGTCATATGTCACTCTTATCGAAGACAGAGGATTGATGTCACTCGAAATCAACCCTGCAGTCAACGTTGAAGGCAGAATGCTGCTCGACTGTGACCGAGAAGAGGACTTGGCTGCCTTGGCTGCCTTGGCTCAACCCCTAAGCTGCTCCTAAGTTGAGGCATCCAAAAGAGGCTCTGACCACGCGAGGAGCGCTCACTGCCAGAGGGCAGCTCCGTTCTCCACTTGGGGCTTTGTCCAACACGAGGTGCACTTGGTGCCCTAGGACGCTATAGGCAGTGGTTGGGGAAAGCATTTTGGGTGGATGGGATCAAGAGGCCTCCTGTGCTTGCTGCATAGCGTCAGGGCCTTATATGCACTGATGGACCTCAGAGTTGACAGCGTTTGAATTTGAAGGCCAAGTTCCTTCCTTTACCCAAGGTCGGGCCGCTACTCCCGGGGCCTTTCGAGCAAATGGTGCCTAGCCTCTGCTTCCCTTGCAACCGTAGAAGATCGTAGAAGCGTCGAAACACTAAGTACTCTTGCAGACTTTTCTTCCTCGCCCGCGGCTCAAGCATGTCGCCAACTGGACCGTCTCCACATCATGGTCGGAGTCCCAGATGAACCTGTGGTATCCTGTGGTACAACGAGCTATGCCGCTACGCTCCCTTCTGCCAGGGCACTGGAGCTAATGCGAATTGGCTATCAATGACTCAGCGAAAAGGAAGGCGTCAGGTCCTCAGAACTGCTTGTTCTAAATGATTCCTATAAGCTGATGCGTCGAAATCATGGGGTGCGCGGACAAGCTGGAGTATCAGCTGAATCGCTGAGGTCTACCGGCCCTTGCCACACTCACAGGTGCCGGCGTCAGAAGTCAGTGGAGTGGTCCGAGTATGTTAAGTGCACTCGTAGCGGTGGGAACCCCTGGAAGCGCATTGCCGCATTGCATATTCCTAGCAGTTTCAAAGCCATGGGCCAATTGAGATCTCATTTCAGGCCTCTCCACCCGTGCGTTTGCTGCATCGCCCGTGCGGAGTTCTCCGCTCCAGGCGAGCGTACGCAAGCGAGACTGGAATGGCGGGGAAGTGGTGGAGCAGTTGGCTGCAGAGCCATGCTTTCCTTGCGAGAATTGCTCAGGCAAGCACGTACGTGGCGCCTCCGCGACAACTGTCCTTCTGCAAGGCACGGGGAGGCACAAAAAACTCGCGGCGGCATGGCCACGAAGCACAGTCTGCTTCTGTGCCACAGGGCCTGCCCTGCTTCCAGCAGACCAGCGCGCGCACTGCGAGCGCTCTGGCGGCCGTAGGCCCGATGGGGTTGCAGGGAAAGACATGGTCGAACTCAAGAGCCGTGTGAACGGCTGCAAACGGCGGCGAGCGCCTGGAACCTAGCACCAGGCGAGTCTCAGGCGGCAGGCTTCGGAATTGCTGCCTCGCACCCGGTTCGTGTGCTTGCTAAAATTCCACTTGGCTGTCCGAAGTGCAAAGGCCCTCTCCTCCTTTTTCAACGGATCCTTTCCGGCATGCCAGCGCCTCCCAAAGGCAGAAGCAAGCAGTCGAATGGCATCGAGTCATCGTGGGTACAGCGTCTGAATGTGTTGCAGGGAGAGCCTCTTGACCCCGTCCTCTTCAATGGCTTGGTTTGTGCCCTGCCCCCAGAATCAGCACCTATCTTGATCTGGTAGCCGAAAACCGTCCCTACTGTGGCTTTGGGGGAAGCACGAGGTTGGCGTCTTCTTGTCGTCCCTTGTCGCAGCAGCCTCAAACGAGCCATGGGGACGCTTCTGCCAGTGCCCATGTGATGATTCACAAAAACAGAGCAAAATCATCATACATGTATATACATATATATGTCTGTATATCTGTATATCTGTATATCTGTACATCTGTATATCTCTATATCTATATCTGTATTTCTATCTATGTCTATGTCTATATCTTTATCAAAACCTATCTGTAAAGAAAATATATATATATATATACACATACATCCTATCATGATATATTATGTTCTCTTCGGCGAGGTTATGTTGCATGCACATGCATATACATAATTTACCAAAATTTGAGTTTAATATGGACGTGTTTAGTATTGTTTGTTTCTTTGGCAAGGTTCCCTTTGTGTTCAACGTGTCCATGGCTCAGCTGGCAGCAGCTGAGGAGGAGCTTCCCAGACCTTGGAATAGTGTGGAATGCCAGGCCCTTTGTATTCACCGCGGGCGGCGCGTTGGGCGGCGTGCTGTTTGTCTTCGCGGCCCTCTTCAGCTTTGCTAGGAACTCAGCCCTGCTCTGGAAAGTCTGAGCTGTCGCAAAACAGGGCATCATAGGGCAATGACAAGAAGGCTCGACCTTTGACAAGGTTGCCATTCCGAGAGCCGGGTTGGCCACCGCACAGGCTATTGGGACGTGTTGGGACATGGACATCATTAAAACGATCATGTGGCAAGCTGTTTTCTGAACAGTATGCAAAAGGGGCACGCATGTGTGTGTGTGTACTTTGCACAGGCAGTTTGGTCCTGCTCGGCCATCATCGTGTCTTTCGGGTGGGGTGCGATTGGTCCAGCTGAAGTGGCGGCACCTGCGTGGGACCCAGCATGCTGTTCGATTTGTTGCCCTTGCGGCACGAATCCTGCGAACAGCAGATGCGGTCCTGGTACGGTATTTGCAGATCGGCGTTTTCAGTTTGCAGCTACTTGGTCTACTTGGTAACAAGGTTTGCTAGGGGAGTGGGCAGCTCAGGGATGCAGGAAGCTGTTGACAACACCTGAGGGGTGGGGAGTGGCTGGGTATCATCGAAGGGTTTTTGGGGGGAGGTTGAGGCTGTCCTGGGCTGGGCTCCTATGGGACAGGTGGCCGATATCACAGGCAGCATCGCCGCTTTGGCTCTTCTCATCGCAGGCCTGGTTGCGCCCAGAGCAGTGAGAGCAGTGAGAGAGTGAGAGCCAGAGCCGAGCCTTGGCCACCGCTGTGACGAAAGGGGCGCTGGTCATCGTCAATTGCGATGGCATTGCCAAGGGTCGGCTTCCGAGCGGTCCGCAGAGGAGACTCAGCTGAGACTTGTTCTGGGGACATCTTGTGTTGCAGGCCTCTCTGGCGAGTCTGCTCGAGAAGCATCCGCATCAGGCATGCCCACCTTGAGATGGCCACAGCTGCTCCTGTGTCACGGTCTCACGCCTACCTCATTCCACAGCCGTCGCAGGGGCTCAAACATAAGCCCCCGCGTGCTTGGGCATGCTCAAATGCTGAAAGAGGCAGTGGATGCTTGGGTTGATGGTCAGGGTTGTGCTGGGTGCGAGATGAATATTCACGTAAAAACTCCGTCATTGTGAAGTTGTGACGAGACTACGAGACCGTTTTGGCACAGCCAACTCTGACATAGGTCAGAGGTGCCCACCCAAATCTGCGCACTTCAAAACGTCGCTCAGGTGGTGGTCTTCCATGCCCTACTCAGATTGGTGCTGGCAGAGCTGGTGAACCTGTGCCTTTGCGACAAGCGATAGCATGCCATGGCATGCCGCAGGTATGCGGAGATGTTTTGGGCAACGGTTCGTCCGCAGTTCCTCTGCTTCTGCTGAGGCATGGTCCTGCGAGACCAGGCCGCCGTGTACCTGACTCGATGACTTCTCACACTCTTTTTTTGGCGGAAGCTCGCTAAGAAGCGCTTTCTTTCTCAAGTACTCTGGCGCTGAGACTGTCTCTCTCTCTCTCGCTCGCTCTGTGCTGCGCGAGACAATTTTTTGCGACTCTTGTCTCTGTCACCTTCGAAGGTGTTCCACACCACTTCACTCCGGCGGAGCGCTGCTCGTTTCTGCGGCCTCCGCTTCTGCCCTTCTTCTGGGATCAGCGATGCATCCAAGCAGCACCCTCGTTAGGACTTCTTAAGAATGTTGCGTGGCATTAAAGAGTTGTTCCGGAGTTTGTTTTTGTTTGTTCTCTTTCTCACTCTCACTCTCTCGCTCGCTCACTCTCTCACTCTCTCACTCTCTCACTCTCTCACTCTCTCACTCTCTCTCACTCTCTCACTCTCTCTCTCTCGCTGTCTGTCTCTCAGTGCTGCACGGGAGAGGGGTGTTGGAAGTGAGATGGCACACTGGCACCAGGCAAGCTGAACAAGAATAAACTCGGGTGCTGGGCCGACGGCGTGCACGCGCAGTGCCGCTTCTGTGGAGAGGAGCCCTATACAGGCAAGTCGGCCAAAGCACAATGTGGATGCCAAGTGGAGCTTGATGTCGGATCCTTCGTGTTCTGAGGCATCCCCTGCCCCATGAACGCCATCGTGCCAAGCGCTGGGTCTGTCCCTGCGCTGCATGTTGGAGAGGACGTCTGTTGGCGCAGTCACTTGACAGAGCGCCGTGAACAAGCGCTCTCTTGAAGCAGCTGCTCTGCATGGCACGTGCATGGTCAAGGTGTGCAGATTTGACAATCCTCCGGTGACGCCGTTCTTCTGGGACTCCTCCTGCTACATGGGCATGAAGGGCTGCCTAGCAGACGGGAAGCACATCGGATGCAGGTTTTGTGGAGCAGGCGCCCGAGGCATAGCACGTCCGTTAGCAGTGCTCCACACACTCCACTCCTGCTATTCAGCAGGCAACTACTCTGACATTGAGTGCCCGGCAAGCGTTTGCAGCTTCACAGATGAGCCGTGGACGCCATACTACTGGGATGATTTCTGCCAGTGGGGCATGCTCGGACCGGGATTGGTGCAGAACTTGCCGCATTCATGCTCGCAGCTGCTAAGTTTTCTTCTCAAGTTGGGGGCTTGTCTGCCATCACCCGGAAGGATGTAACGCTGATGGTATCCACATCCAATGCCGTTTCTGCGACAAGGCAGCTAGCGAACATCAATCAGTTGCTTTGTTTTTTCTTATTTTGCTGCCTTTCGAGGAACGGCAAGCATCTTGTGGCACGTGGTGGTTCCTCCCCAATCGCTCCTAGAAATGATGATGCCCTCCCCCCCCCACACATGTTGAAAATCGGAGTTCAAAATCTAGATTTCCTGAAGGTTGGTTGCATGCTCTTTTGCAAAGTCGGGGGGGGGGGCCATGCACGAAAAGACCGGTAGGGCCAGCAACTGCCAGGTGCCCTTCCAGAGTGTTTCCTGTCCGGAAAAAGCACGACCCGCTTACCCTGACGGGAGTCTTGCCTTCTTGTTGGCTTTCTGAAAGTGGTCAGCTTTTGCTACTGCAAGCGAATGCACATGTCAAGGAAGTGCTGGTTTCCTGTAAAACCTCCTGAAGGCCAAGGTGACCTGTCTGCAAGCGGTTGATGCGGGAATCTGCTGCGGTGGCCACACCGGGCTGAGGCCATTTCTGGGACGAGACCTGCAAATGGGGCCGCAAGGGATGCTGGGCGGATGGCGTGAATCGCCAATGCCGCTTCTGTGGCAGTCGACTTTACGTGGCCCAGCCGCAAACGAACGGAACCAGCCGACGTCAGCAGATTTGGAGTAATTAGTTCTGCACGACTGCTGTGCTATGCTCGAGGCGGACATTCCATGCCCGAACGAGACTGAGATCATCCCTTGAATGTCGGCAGCTCCCCTGAAAAGTCGATGCACTCAGTCCAAAGCCACGGCAGGGACGTCACATCAAGAAGCGGTCGATCTGGTCGGAGAGCTTTGCTGGGAGGGCGCAGCCTCTCTTCTCTAATTTTGTCGCAAAGGTCGACTCTCCAAATCTCGATTTAATTTGCTGTTTTGCTGTCTGCAACAGCTGCAGACTTCCTGTTAATGATGTGCTATATACAGATGGGCCACAAGTGCTCAAGAAGTGGGTCATGAACTTATCCGCACTGGCCTTGCGATTGAATGGCATTCTCTTACAGTTGGTTCCATAACATCTAGTTCAATCGTGGCCTTTGTGGTCATCAAAGTATAGGAAAGTTGGGCAAGACTGATACACCTTAATTACTTGCACTCTCTGTCCTCGGTGCGTGCTGCTGGCTCCATTGCAACAAAGCGCCAGATCAGATCGTTCTTGTACAGTGACGTCCCAAATCTGTCAGCTGTTGTTTGGCCTGGCAGATTCCTAGATTCTGTAGCCGTTGCTGGGCCGCAATTCAATGCGTAGGTCGTCCAGGTGAGTTTGCATGCTGCAGGTAAGACACGGCAATGCAAAGTACCATGCTGGACCTGTTCAGGAAGGGTCCTAGTAAAATAATTGGGACAGGTCGAAGGGAGAGACACAGGATCCAGAAAGATTAAGGACAAGGAATTGATGGAGGTACGCGAGGGCCATGGATTTAAATGAGCTGCAGGCATTTTGGGCACTCACCTGGCCGAAGATTGCACGCTTCGTTTTCCTGCTGCACACAGCAGAAGGAAGAGCCAAAGCAAAGAACACAAAGGCAAAAGAAAGGCAACATATATAGGCCTGAATGTTTCAGAATGCTTCAGGCTCAGGGGGAGTGCTCTTTGTGCTCTTTTGCATTCTTCCGCCTTTGTCTCCTTTTTGTTCAGCCCAAGTCTTCTGAGATCTCCAAGTGCTTGCAGATGCGGATCGTCCGCTGCTGCCAGGTGAGGCGTCGTCAGGCCTGTCTTGCACTATTCTTGCCCTCTCTGTATCGATCTGCCTCTGCATAACTGCGCCCAAAGCAAGTCTGTGGCTCGCAGCTCCGCAGCTCAGGGTCTGGCGAGTCTGGCGGTGAGCGCACCGCTGGGATTGCTTCCGCGCTGGCAGTCTGCCACTCAGTCAAGACATTGTGACATACGGGCCCTGATCCTGTGTCAATTGACAATGTCATTCAATGTGACAAGCTCAACACGCCGTCTGTAGGACTCAGGTTCGGGGGGTTACACTTCCACTGCTTCCGCGAGAACACTCGCAGTCGCCCATATGGCAGCCGAGTGGTACACTGGTACACTGACCGACTAAGGGAAAGCAAAGGATGGGGAGCAGGATGCAGCATCAATCGTGAAACTAGTGCGGCTGACAACGAAATCATTCGCAGCACAAGTCTACATTCAACACAATGTGAAGGCTCCGGCTACTGATAGATACACTGACCCATTTCAAGTTCAGGCCATCCGGTGAGTGCCTATGTACAAAACGAGCGCATCCGATGGACCTCTTCAAGAAGCCATTTTTCTGTCGATTGTCAGGTAAATGCAACACAGTATCAACACCGTCTACAGTGCGCTATGGTGACGTGTGTCAAGCTTATGTCGTCTCAATACTAAAGTAATCAGGTTGGCATCTTCGGCGGCTCTGTGTGCGGAGCCCGTGTGAGAGCAGACTTTGGTGCGTTGATGTGCGAGAACTTGGTACTTCAGGTATTTGCTCTAGCCCTATAGGGTCTAGATTGGAGGCGCTGACATTTCGCAAAAAGCTGAGGCTAGTCCCTTTCAAGTTCATCCCGCCGGAGGCAGCAGGTCTGACGGCCATACCGTCCTTCGGACTAGGTGGGCTTCATGGCCGGTCAGCGCAGTCAACGCATCGTGACATGTTACCGCTGTGACCTCGGCTCACACCCAAAATGCCCTGCGGTTGGCAAGGCGCACTGCTGGCAGGCGTGGTGGTGACCTTGGGATACTGGCCGCTCGGACTCACGCAAACTGCGCTGCCGGCAAAGTAGAGCCGCCTTGTGACATGGTCAGCCACACCCAGGAAAGCCGTGAAGAAGGAGAAGTGCAATATTGTGGAATTGTCCATGTTCGCCGAAGCGAAGCCACAGAGTGGCTCAGGAGAAAGACTGGCCGGTGGTTGCCAGCGATCAGATCTTAGCAGGCTCCAGTTTCCTTTGCCAGCGTCACTAGCCCCGGCACCACCTCGCAAAAAGAAAGTTCATGAAAGTTCTGATCTCCAATGAAGGTTTGGCCAGCGGCTTGCTCTGGAATGCCGGCAATGTCTGTCAGCGCTTCGGGCTGTTGCTTTGATGGGCCATGTCGCGGATCTGTCCTTACTTGTACTAAAATTTGGTGTCCACATGGATGCATCAAGAAGGTTCAGTGATTGCTCAGAGCCCGCCATTCTCTTTGCCGTGCGCCGCTGCGAGTGCAGCTTTCAGCGCGAGCCGTATCTTCTTCACATCAGCGTGGTAGTTCAGGTACGGAGTGGCTTACCCCATCCTCCAATGTGCTTTGTTTTTCGGCGGGCTGTGGGGAATCTATGCCTTCAAGGCCATGGCGCTCAGGTTGAATGCTTGATGCGGCATTAGCAGCATAAGCAGTAGGACAGCGCCATGGCGACACATGCACCAGGAAGTGGTATGTCCAAGGTATGACCCGTTGAGTCAGGCTTTTGACAGCATTATAGACACTCGGACACTCTCAGAGGCAACGGAGGCTGCTGGCCCGGTCGAAAACGAGACCTTGAATGTTCACGGGTTTTATCCTCCCTCCCCCCTCCCGCCCACCCCCCAGACTCCCAAACTGTCTGTTCCCCGCCCGACAAGTGGGAGGACAAAGGCAGGTCTCAGCCTGCACAACATTCAGGGGAGAATAGGCGAGCACGAGCCAATTCTCACTCTCTACAGGCTCGAAGCGGAAAACGGGCGACTGGAAAGGCTTCGCGATTGGCACGTTCGATGTTTCTTTTTCTTATTTGGAGAAATCGGAGCTGCAACAAACCCCGAACTTACCATAAAGCCAGCAACTCCCAAAACCATCTTCCACCCCACCAATCTCAAAACACCAAAGCCCCAACAAACTCTGTACACACAATCCGGGCATGCTGCCCTAAACCCTACCCCTGCGCTCAACGTTTGTTCCATCGAACCGGAAGAATTGAAGCCGCATGGTGAGACCCAGCAGCAATGTATTCATGTGTTCCTCGCCCTAAAATTCTTGCTAATGGGTTTTCCGGACAGGGTGGGGATGCTCGAAGTGATTTAAGCAGTCATCCCCTCGCAGCTTCACGCAGTGTTGCACCATTGGTAACAATACTTACTAGGAAGTGTATTCAGTATCTCGTAAGGGTATGAGCATCGAAAGGCCACATGCGCTAGAGTTTTGTTTGCAGAGGCATGATACGGCCCAAAACGCTGGTAAAAGTCATAGCTGTTATAGCTGTTTTGCATCAACATGTCACTGTGTGTGTCTTAGAGGGCGTGCACGTCCTTGCAGCGTCGGGCCGCCGGCTTACATTGTCTCTCGTTGTGCAGGAGATTGTGGGTTCCGCCGTGGCCGTGTTCTGGTCCGGGGCTGCGAGCCAAGCACACAAACTATATCCACAGCAAAGTGCAGACTCCTTTAAGGGAATGGCACAGCAAGCGAGGCCGTAACCCTGGCAGTGGGCATTGTGCTGCTGGGCCTCTACGGCCCCTCCGGGGCTGCGTGACCTCGAGGCGAAGGACAGAGAGACATGACGGACTGAACCAGGGCAACAAAGCAGCTCAGGCAAGAAGGCGCGTGATCGTTGTTGTCAGGACCTGCTTCGGTGGCAGCGGCGAGCACGCTCACATGACAGAGTCTGACGACAAGATGCAAGTCCACGTCGGCAGAGAATCGCCCAGCGTCGACTCGCATCGACCCCATCCCGTGGTCTATAGCGAATATAGTGTGATAGTGCGAGACGAAGTCCTGCGGTGTGGAACAAGAAGTCAAGCCCCGAAGCGCCATCACATGGTAGACCGGCAAAGAGCATGACAACTTGGCGATTCCTTT